CCACCGTTAATTACAAGCACTATTGTATAAATATATTGAATATCAGGGACGGACGCAAAAATTTATGTTAGGAGTACGAATTTAACAAGTTATATTAAAATTTCAGAGGTGCGAAATTATAAAATTTTAAGGGTACAAAATTAAATAATCAATAGAAAATATAAAGAAAAAATTTTAAAATATAAAAGAATTTAAAAATTCTAAAAGGTGCAACCGCACTATCCAACACCCCTAGATCGATCCCTGTCGATCATAATTGAAATGAAATAAGAATAAACAAAAATTCCTTTTTGCTTACTGCAATTCTCTTCTCCACACATACGACCATGGGCGAAAAAGGGATAAAAACAGCAAAGAGGCCAAGTTGTTTATCTTGAAATTAATAAGGTTTTAAAATATAATTATACCATAAAAATAAAAGAATGTAATTTAATTTTACTATTTTTAAAATCGATACCTCCTGAAAAGTAATTAAACCAAAAATATATATAATATTTAATTTCATAAATTTTAAAACTAACAAGATCTTAACAATAATTGAATCAAAAAATTTTGAAAGGAGAATACTTATTTTTAATGATTTTAAAACTTTCATAAACTTAAAATGCAATTAAACCATAAAAATGAAGATGGGTTATGACCTCTTTAACTCTAATATGATTCTACGACCACGTGTGATGATCGAACGCAAAAGAATCCCAAATAAAAATAATTTTTCAGGGAAGCATATTATAATCTTTAACGAGGGAAGATGAAGGTGGACACTTGAATCTAATGACATATATAAGATTTTATGGCATGAGACAAATTATTTATAAAATTATACGAGAAAATAAATTTATAAAATTTTAAAAGAGACAAAAATATAAAATTAATATTCAAAATATAGAGATTTAATTTTTGTAGAAAAAAAATCGCCTCTATTTAATTCTCCCTCAGTTCATCCTTCGTGGACATAATGCACCCAAAGAAAAAGTTTTTATACTCGTAATGGAGAGTCATGTAGTTTCCATTTTGCACCTCTCGTCCTCTATAATCCTTCTCTAAGCCTAAATTTAAAGGGAAAATATCAACCAATACTGGCCAAACCTCGAAAGCTAATCTATCAATAATAAATACAATGTTATCTCAACTATAATAGTTTCTTGGCGGAATTATGCTTTGGGTCGGGACTTTTCTCTTTCATTTTTATTAAAAGGTTTAATATAAAAATAAATATTCAAATTATATATTTTTTCTTATTTAGGTGTTTAATTTTTTTTTGTCAATTAAAGTGTCAAACGCTTCTAATATTATCATTTAGGTGCCTACGTCGTAACGACTGTTAAAAAAACTAGTAAAAATAAGTCAACCACATAGTATTTGACACGTGACTTGATTTTTTATTTTGTTTAATTTAAAAAATAATAATAAATTTTCAACAACATAAAATTATCAACTTTTCCTATTTTGCATAAAATATATCAAGACTTTTAATTTCGACGCCGACCACCACCATCATCGGTGATCATCAACTTATTCATCGATCACCAGTCCATCGGCCACCAACCGGCTACTCACCCACCGGTTGAGATGGATGAGTGTCAGATTTAGGATTTGAGTTTAGGTATTTTTGGGATGTTAAGTCACAATTGACGATCAACGTATGTGGGTAGGTGATCGGTGGGGATGATAGTGACAATAGGCAGTCGACGGGTGGGGTGGATGCTTTGGGATTAAGGACTTTGTGATTTTTTTTATATTTTAGAAATGTTTTCAGATTATTTTGAAAATAATAATAATTTTAATTTTTTAAAAATTTACAAAGGTGTCACATTCTGAGTGGTTGGTGATTTTTTTAATATAAATTACAGTCGAGACACTTAGATTATTACATTAAAAACATTAGGCACTTAAATTGACCAAAAAATATTTAGGTGCCTAAATGGAAAAAGAAGTATAATTTAGACATTACTTCTATATTAAGCCTTGTTGTATGGATCAGAATGTTGGGCAACCAAGAAGGATCATGTAAAGAGGATAGAGGCTGCAAAAATGAGAATGCTTCGATGAACATGCAGTAGGACTCTGTGGGATATGACAACAAACTCTACTATTAGGATGTCCTTGGGGGTGGTGCCTGTTTCTGAAAAATCGAGGGAGGGAAGACTACGGTGGTTTGGGCATGTCCTTAGGCAACTACCGTCGGATGCGGTTAGGAGGGTAGAGTCGATTACAGTCGACGGTGCCAGAAGGAGAGGACGACCAAGGCGGAAGTGGGAATACTACTTGAGATCTGATTTGATGGATTTAGCCCTTACCGAGGACATGACCTCTGATAGGAAAGTATGGAGACTAAAGACTAGGGTAGTCGAGTAGTGTGGGTCACATCTCTAGGGTGTATAATCTCTGTCTTCTTTTAATGCATTTGTAGTAATTTCCATGAATTCTACTTTTTATACGTTTCTGTTATTGGTATTTATGAAGGCTTAGAACTGGGCTTGCTATCGTGGACTTCTGTGTAATATTCTATTCACTTTTAAATTTAGTCGGGTCTTACGTTTCTGTCTATATGCAGAGATTTTTTCGCAGGGATTTATTTGCAGGGATTACTTCCCATTTCAAACGCGCATATGATATTAATGATATTTATGACTGCATATGAATACTGTTCAACTATGTATTTATGTATTTATTTATACATGCTTTGCATTTTATCTATATTTTTAATTTTCTGACTGCCGGAGGTCTTCCACGGAAGCTACCCTCAACCTGGCGTTGGGGGCAGCCTACTACCCTACCTCTCCCTTACCCCATTGCATATGGGAATTGGGTTTTGTTGTTGTTGTTGTTCTATATTAAGCCTTATTAAAAACACATAAAGATATGATCTAGATATATACCTAACTGTTCTTAATTTTTAATTTATTTTAAATTTGCTAGTATAAATTCATTTTTCATATAAAAAACATATGAATTCATACAAACAAAGGTACGTAGAGGGTGTGATAGATTTTTGTACTCTTAAGTTTTTTATTTAATATCATTTTAAGTCATTAACAACTTAAATTTAAATAAATTTAAATATTTATTATTTTATTTTTTTCAATTAAATACTTAATAAAACTTTATTATTATTATTATTTTAATTTAATTGTGGTGAATACACTGTAATATATGCTGAAAGACTCTAAATCATTTGATATTGAAGACTCATATATATGTGATACTCAAACTCATATATTTAAATAATAATAATAATAATTTTTTAACTGTTGAAATAATTTAATTCGTACATTAACAGAAAATATAGTTTAATAATTGAGGTCTGGTGGAGCAATTAGAATTCATAGAATTTCCACATCGGATCAAGCATGTTTGTGAAATTTCTTTCACGGATACACTCAAAGATTACAAGCGAAACGTTTCCAAATTTGACTTTGCATCCCAATTGGAAAATATGCGCACACGCAATAATTTCTCTCTCTCTTCTTCTTCTTCTCTCAATTCCGCCTTTGTTGAATTTCAAGATTTTTACGGAATAAATAAATAAAGAGTAAATTATATGAATTACCACTTTATATAATTCTATAAATTCCAGTATATTAAAACTAAACTTTTAAAAAATAGAAAATAAATAATATAAACCCTTATTGAATGCTAAATCATACTAAAAGAAAATATATTTTACTCAAAAATAAAATATTAAAACAAAAAAAATTATAGAATAAATTAAGGAGTTACCTAGGATTCGATAAACTTAGGTCCTCACCCACTTGAAACCCCTCCATCTAAAGATTATTGATTGTTGATGGGAGTAAATTTGGCTTGTCAATCGTAAACGATTCTTCTAATTTAAACGGAGAACTATGATCGATCAAAGAGTTATGATAATGAGTCAAAATCTAAAAAAAGGTGAGAGTAGTTTATCATAAAATGGTCAATCGATTAGGATCGTTCCAACCCTTTTATCAATTTTTATTAAAGATATTTATAGAGGATTTTAGTGCGTGTATCAACTACAAGATCATCACGATTATTTGTAAAGCAACATGCTAGATAGATACGACAATCAAATTTTAGATTTTATTCAGACGCATCATATGAGCCTGTCAAATGACTTATCTATCAAAAGTCTTATATGTGTTATAGTTGACTAAAGTATATATAGTAGGAATATAGATTAATCAGATGTTGAAAGGTTTTTAGAGACTATTATAGAGATATAACACTAATCTATTAATTTATCAATCAATTAATTTGAAAAAAAATATTTTTTTGATTAATTTGGAGTAAGTATAAGATAATATATGTTTAAAGATAACTCTTAATTATTTGACATTGAACGTTCGTACCTTTAACATTATTGATGTTCGAACCGAAACTTAAAGAAATAAAAAATAATATAAATATATAAATGTATACTTCAAACTTTATTTCCTTCCTATTATTACTTTCTCCTTGAAAGATCGACAGCATAATGGCTAAAAAAAGACTGTCACCGCCCCCTTTTTCTTCTTATGCTATCATTATTTTATATAATTCACACAATTTTTTTATGGCATACATGCAGTAGTATTAATATATATGTTATCATAAATATTAATATTTTTTAATATTTTTGATAAAATATTATTTAAAATATTATTTTTTATTAAAAATGTTAATATTAGATTTTACCAAAAATTAGTTAGTAAATTTAATATTTTCGTTAAAAAAACTAATATTTTAAATAATATTTTATCAAAAATATTAAAAAAATATTAATTTTTTTTTGTAAAACCTTCTCTTATATTAAAGTATTTTTTAACAGTATATTATAGTTGTCGGACAGTAAAACTAATTTTTTTTTTCTCAACCCCCTCTAGGCATAAAAATGAAAGGAAAAAGACTTAAAAAGAAAGATCAAGCTCCCCTTTCTTCTCACCCTTTTGCCATTCCCATTCATCTCTCTCTTCCTCTCCTTTCTAACAGTATACATTACAATCATACATCACTACTTCCACCTCTTCTTTCTACTTTTGGCCTTAGTGCTTTCGGATTCGAGTTGGACCGTTTTCTATTTCCACAGTTGTTTCATCGTCTCATCTGCTAGATTTTTGGGATTCTCTCAGGTACCCTTTCAGTTTTTCACTGAGCTTTCTTTGTTTTTTCTCTTCATTTTTTATTGGATTAGTGTATATTTTCAGGCTATCTCTCTCCATTTACGGTGATATAATTTCTGCTTTATGAAAATGTTAGGGTTCTGCTAGCTTATCTACACGTTGTAATGATAAAATATGTCACGGGTTAAAAGAAGAAGAAAAGAACCTAGATGGAGTCTCCCCTTTTGATTTTTCAATCAATGAAAGTGGTTGTGGCAACTGGCAACTGGCAACTTGTGCTCAAACTTCAAAGAAAAAGAAAATGTCTCTACTCTGGGAAACATCCTATTAAAAAAATCAATTATATTATTATTACTATTAACCACAAATTCTAGCTTTCATCCTCCATGAATATTTCCAATGATTCATGGAACTATATATTTTTTCCTTTAATCTCCGATTGGAATTTTCATTTGGTTTAATTTACGGTTAGTGTATAACATTATACACGTTTATATGTCACTTATTGGATGATACGACTAGGAGTAGGGAAGCCTTTTGTTGATAGTTATTATACCTTCGTCAAATTTCGTTCGTGACATTTCTATTTTGGTATGTAAAACTCGATTCAACTTAAATGATTTTTTTCGACTCAATTTGATGTTAAAAATTCGATTTGATTTGATTCTTTTTAATTTTGAGTAGAGTTATATAATAAAACTCGAATAAATCAAAACTTTTAATAATGAGTGAATTAATTTTCAAGTTCGAATCGAGTCTCTCAAATCTGCATGATATATGTATATCACATATGAAAAAATGAAGACATATATATATATATATTTTGTATATGGTTATAGAAAATCGTATAAATTCGAAGCAAATAATATCATTGTATTATAAATAATTACAAATAAATTTAAACATAAACTTGAACAACTCAACTCATAAAAATTTCAAATAAAGTTTGAATTATAAAATATGACACATCAACTCGAATAACTATAAATTTTTTGACTCGATCGAATACTCGCCCATAATCTTCGCACCTGTATCTCAAAGTCTTCTAAGAAAGAACCTCCCATAGGCAGGATCCTGTAAGAACGTATCCTGTAAGAATGTATCCAAAGAAAGAATTTCTCGAGAATTTTGAGAAAAATGAGGAGTACGTCTATGGAAGAAGGATCTTGAATATCTAACATCCCTTGGGAAGCCACAATCGATTGACATAACTTCTGATAGACACACATGACCTGCTAGAGTTAAACCTATCGTTAGCCGACTATTGTTAGACTATCAGCATACGAGTAGCCATAATGACCTTATGTCTGGCATCAGCTCTTAAAATCATTATAAAACATCTCGAAAAAGAATGAGAGATGGGATGTGACCCGGATGAAATCACTTCACCCTCATTTGTCTCTTTTCTACCTGATTATGGAGATAAAATAACTTTAATATCGTCCAACGGTCAATCCACCATCAACTGAAATTCTTTGTCTAAATCAGAATGAGTGAATAACCTAAAGCTACCACAATCCATTTAATCCCATCAGTCAAAAGAAAAGATGATGTATTAGTATAGTTTGTCATACTGAAGATGGTAGTGGATTGATCGTTCAATTGCGGTTACTTTTTTAGTGTGAGTGAAGAATCTTCTTCCGACCACGAAGATAGAAGGTGAGATCTTGTAAGAAGAAAGTAGAGAGGAATAAGGTGAAGAGAGAGGATTCATTCAAAAAAATCTCATATATACTTTATTTTTGTGTCCTTTGTGTCAAGTGACAAAGTGAGGTGAAATAAAATTGATTCCTATTGGCAGGCAGCATTAAGGTTATAGAAGTTTAGTTGCTTAGTAGTTAAGGGACCGTTTCTGTCAAACTGTTCTCTGTCGATTATTACATTGATAGTAAGTGACCGAGAATATAACATGTGATCGGAAGTATGTCCTGAGAATATAACTGTTTAATTGTGCATTTCCTTTGAAGATTTCGTTTTCATAATTAAACTTATCATTTACAAATTGCGGTTTATTGTCGTCTGCCCTTTATTTGCTATTATTGATGATAAGCCATAGCACTCTCAAAGAAAAAAAAGTAAAAATGAAGCCTTTTTACTTGGTATTTTTCTTGTGCAAGCTGGTACTATTATAGTTTTGAATTTTTGGTTTGATTCTGATTTTGTTCAATTTATGTTATTACGAACGATCTGATTAATGAAACCCGGAAGAAGAAAAATGATGATGGGCTATGGCTTGAGGAGGATTGAAGGCTAGCTGAATGTTGCTGCAATATTGCCTTCAAGGCTTGACATTTTTGGATTGAGAATTGGAGTAATCTTAAATATATTAAGTGTCCTAGGATCCCATCGATGGAGCCGTCATCATCGATTTCATTTAAAAGGGCTCGGCCTCCTGGCAGGGGAAACCGAGTACCTTCGTGCTTGGTCGACGGTTGCACCACGGACCTCAGCAAATGCAGGGACTATCATAGACGTCATAAAGTATGTGAAGTTCATTCCAAAACACCAAAAGTCACAATAAGGGGTCAAGAACAACGATTTTGCCAGCAATGCAGCAGGTAAATAATTACAATAGCTTTATGCAGATTCAGCTATTTGTTTCCAAGAGAAATGCAAATCAAATTAATGAAGTTCTCTGATGTGCTTCGATCCTTCATTTTGATTGCATATAATATCATTTGATAATATGATCAAGTGCTTGCTTAGTTTCTGGTGAAAGCATTCTAGTAGGTTTCATTCTTTGGTGGAGTTCGATGAAGAAAAACGAAGCTGCAGGAAACGGCTCGACGGACATAACCGAAGACGTAGAAAACTGCAACCCGATTATCTGTCTGTAAGTCCAGGAAGATGTCTTTCCAATCTCCAAGGTTTGCAATTGAGTGAACTTTTAATCTTCAAATCAGAAACTGTAGTAGTTTGCATGCATCGGTATAAATGAGACTGTTGCAGGTTTTAGACATACACAGTTCGGTAGCCACCAAGTGTTAGCCCCTATTGTCATAACCTCTTCTTGGTTGGGGACCGTCAAAGCCGAAACCGATATAAGCTTGGAACCGGAGTTAAACTTTGGCAACCTAAATGGTTCCTTCCGTGGATCTTTACCTCACAACTACATAGGAGAAGAGCAATTCTCGTTCTTACAAACCAATAATTCCTCACTTCCCGGAGTGTCCATTTGCCAACCGATTCTCGATGTCAATCCTTCATCAAGCAATGGTTGCGATCGTGCTCGCTGTCTTCTGTCATTGCAGCTGGCTGAGGCTGGGGAGATCGGTTTAAGCCCCATGGTGCAATCTGGAACAACTTCATCCTTAATCCCAAACTTGCAGTTTTCTTGTCTAGCAATGCAGGGCAAACAGGAGGGAACTATGCTAGCCACTGATGACAGTAGTAACACCAACCTCCACGAAAACGAAATGTTTCGAAATTGGCGTTCTGGCTCGTTATCTGCAACCGGGACTCACCAGACACACTCCTCCTCATGGGAGTAATATTCACCATTGCCATCCATTTACCCTTCGAATAGATTGGTTTAAGTTGCAAATGTTAGTAAGTTTAGAACATTAATGTAGATTTTAAATGAGTTCCCTATGATGTATGGATCTTTGGAACGAATTATTCCCCCCCCGCAAACTTTTTATTAAATCAGGGCTATGAATAATAATAGTAACAGTTTTCAATTTGAATAGTTTGTCAATAAAATAGAATTTTTTTTTGTTGTCCACCCGATTCCAAGGCTCTGCCTTGACTAATTCAGATCGATCTCAGTCATACACCTAACTTTAGTGGGCAAGTCTTCCGGCAATAATTTTCTGCATACACAAAGACTCGAACTCGAGATCTTATGTAAATAATATCAAGTTGCTTACCATTTGAAGACGCCAAACAAACTTGAATGGACAATTAATCAACAAACTTGCCAACCAAACACGAGTAAAAAACGTTTCTTAATTTTAAATAGGATAGTATCATATTTGGTAGATGTACTTTGATAAAATGTCTAATATGTTACTTATATTTTAAAATATTCGACATGGTACTTATATTTTATCGAAATAGTCAATATGATACTTATATTTTATTGAAATATCCAGTATGATACATAAACCGTTATTCCATGTATTATTATGATTTCAAGATTAACATTGTCAATAAATGTCGTACTTGAATTATTATTTTACCTATTATAATGATTTAATTAAAAAATATATATGTAATCATGATCATGTTTCGGATTAAAAATGAACAAAAATTAATAGATAATAAGAAGTTGAGTACTCTAAGATTCATAGATATTCAAACTTGTACTTATCCCTCAATTATCAATATTAGATCTCTTATTGTTCGATAACTACATTAATTTTAATTATATATGAATTTAAATTAGATATATTTTTAATAATTATTGAAATTTAATTTATTGATTATCTAATTTGGATCGAGCATTACATAGACTCATTCTAAAGATAAACATCTCATTCTAATTTCCTTCATTCATAACGTTGGGATTCGAATCTCTAACATTATTTAAAAGACCTAACATTTCATTTCATTTGACCAACTGATAGTTAGTGAAGACATGAAACCAAGCCAAAATCTTTGATGTATAAATACACTGCATACACATATGTAGAGAGTAATTTTTTGATACATATGTTTATACAATCTTATTTATTTGAACAATGAAAACTAACTTTTTAATCACAATCCCAAAATCCTAAACCTTGAACTCTAAATTATAAATTATAAAATCTAAAATCTAAACCTTAAATAAGACAAGTATAATTAAAATTTATATAATTTCCATATTAGCTAATTCTTCATGTATATATTACATGAGTTATATTATATATGTATATATGTAATAGCAGATCTTGTCTTTAGATTCTCGGTGGACCAATTCTAAAACGATAATATATATATATATATATATATATATATATATATATAATATAGCTGTTATGATAATTTTTAAAGTGTTTTGGGGCACCGTATACAAAAAAAAATAAGTTTTTCTTAATTATAAACTATATTGTAAAATTTTCCAAAAATTCATGTGAACATGGTGATGCACATTGCTCAAGTAGTATCCTCTGGATTTTAGGATCACTATCACATTTTTCATGCACCTGAGCATATTATAAATGTATGTATTTGATTGCTTTGACTCGATTACCATTCATTTGGAACATGGAATGTTTCATCCATACTTTGCACGATCCGTTCTAAATTTTAAGCTAATTTTATATTACTTTCCAAATTAGATTATTTCGTTTTGTTTCATAATATTATCTAATAACGATAAATGTTTGATAAATAATAATACACGATGATTGATGATTGATTCAGAAATATTTTTTTAGGTTGGACATATATATTAACAACATAACATATTTGTACGGGATAAACACAAATAAAATTTGAAGATAGACATATTCAATCAAATAAATAATTATCCGAATAAAATTCAGATTTTAAGATAGACACATGCTCACCTTCATTTGATAGTATCTATTTAAAATATTTCTTAACTATTAGCAACACATACTTTATGGAAGTAACTACTCAAAACCTCTAAGAGAATAACACTTTTATTAATTACTGAAATCATTTGTTAGATTTTATGCCTCGTTATGCTTGTAAACATAAGTATAGTGCTTTTTGGAATAAAGATTTGGTATATTTTCTTTTTCTCTTTTCATTATATGAACTCAAATTTAATTTTAATAAGAAAAATATCTCAATTGAGTTCCGATATAATTTAATAAAGAAATGTTTAACAATACCCATTTTAATATATTTTTTAAAATTTTATCTATCGCAATATTCAATAGCTCTATTAATGTCACGCAACCAAGCTAAAGAAGAAACAAAAGACAATTGCTATAAGGTTCTTGCAAAGATTCCAAAGGGTAAACTAATAACAATAATAACAATAAATGAGCATTTGGTTCACGGAATGTAAGATTACCGGTGGGAATAAAAGATTACCAGGGAATTGGATTACTGGGAATGTTGTATTTTGTGTTTGGTTGGTTTAGCAAGAATTTAAGATTATTGTGTTTGGTTAAAGGAATAAAAGATTATTAGAATGTATATTTAACCAAATTGTCCTTATTATATATTTGTTTTTTAACAAGTTGAAAAATATTTATATATTTTCTTTAAAAAAATTAAATTCATAAAATTTATATAATTTTTTTACAAAATTAAAAATATAAAAAAGTTTATTGAAAGGGTAAAATTTTATTTTAACTCCTGAACTTCATATAAAATTTTAATTATAGATTTTTTTGTAAATCTAAAATAGTTTAAGGATAAATTTGTAATTTAACCTTCGTAGAATTTTTATTATTCAATAATAGAAGAATGATATTTTTGAAGAAAAAAATTAAGGATATTTTAGTCCAAAACGCCGGCAATCCAACAATACCTAAGGGAAGGAGGGTAATGACCGAGCGTTTGGATAGGGGAATGTGGGATTCCCCGGGAATGGAATCCACATTCCCCGTTTAGTTGGCAAGAAATGTCATTCCCGGTAATGTTTTATTACCAATAGCGGATTTTTTGGGGTATATTACCGGAATGTCATTACCTCCCTTCCTTAGGTATTGTAACATTTTCGGCGTTTTGGACTAAAATGTCCTTAATTTTTTTTTCAAAATATATTTGTCATTGAATAATAAAAATTCTACGAATGTTAAATTACAAATTTATCCTTAAATTATTTTAGATTTATAAAAAAAATCTATAATTAAAATTTTATATGAAGTTCAGGAGTTAAAATAAAATTTTACCCTTTCATTAAACTTTTTTTATATTTTTAATTTTGTAAAAAAATTATATAAATATTATGAATTTATTTTTTTTTCAAATAAAATATATAAATATTTTTTAACTTATAATATTATACAAATATATAATAAGCATAATTTGATCAAATATACATTCCAATAATCTTTTATTCCTTTAACCAAATACGATAATTTTACATTCATGCTAAGTCAACCAAACACAAAATACAACATTCATATTAATCATATTTCTTAATAATCTTCTATTCCCATTGATATTATTTGTATGAAACAAACGCTCTCTAGGGAGTCGGTTGCCCTATGATGGGACCTGCCGCCCTTTGCCATTTAACCCTTCAACTGACGTGACTTCCACAAGAAGGATTATCCAGATATGGTAAATGGTCCACGTGTTATTATGATCGACGTTGATGGTGTCTGCCCTAAACTGAAATGAAATCTGACATTTGATATAAACTTTGGGGGAAAACAGGTGGACCTCTGCTTTTTTACTTTAGTTTTTGGCCATTGGAATTTCAATCACACCTTTGGTTCCTCCCTCCTCATCCAAGTCTCATTTACTTGCTAGTTTTGGGGTCTACCCGTCGTTTTTTCAAATTATTATCCCCCCTCATTCAATTTTGTCCACTCTATTATGAAAACATTATGTACTTTCGATTTTAAGTTTTAATTTGAGTTTCCAACAGTTAGATTGGAGGTTGAATTTAATGAATCTGGTTTGATTTTGGTGAAGTTCGGATAGTTTCTTAATAAAAAAATAAAGAAAATAGTGTTTTAGTAAATTATTTTTAAATTAAGTTAAAATTAATTAATTGACGACAGCAATTCATTCATTTGACAATTATAAAGAATGAACAGAGATTATGTAAAATTTAGTTTATGTCTCTATCTATTTAAATATCATTTGTCTTAATTAAGGTTTAGAGGTTAAATTCAAATATTAGGATTTATGATTTCAAAGTTTAATATTAAAATAGGAATGATTGTGCAAATTAAGACCATATATATATATATATATGGATTTAACAATCAATATCCAATCTATTGTTTGATTACTTCCTAACGAATTTTGTATAATCCATTATTAGAGTTACTCTTCAAACCCTGCATAAACCTATTTCTCATTGTTTATTTGAAGTACTCTCTAAAGCAAAAGCACTTTTGGAACCATAAACTATATAAAACAGATAAATTTGATTGAAGAAATGCTTTGAAAATCATTTTTTCAATCACAACGTAAAAATCTAAATTTCTAACTTTTGTGTTTGAAAAAAGTGCTTTTTGATTCTAATTATAGTTTTAACATTCTTGATATCCCATGTGTGTTTATTTTATAATTTCTTTTTTTAAAATATAATTATATAATTAAAAGTTTTTCATGATTTTGATTTTTTTATCTTTCCATTTCAATTTTTTAGATAAAAATCATTTTAAATCTTATATATTTCATAAATACATACATTATTAAAAAAAATTTTTAATAAAAACATTTTCATATTTTTATTATAATTTAAATTTATATATTTAAAGAATTTAAAGATCATCTAAAGGACATTTTTAACTTACAAGATTGTATTTAAATTGGTTGTTTGCCTTTTAAAATTGTCATATATGTTATTATCTATCTTTTATTCGAGTTTTTTTGTTAAATTTTTAACATTTTTCTTGTATAATCATTGTGTGGTATTAAGTGATTAGTTTCTATGTTCATGATTATAAGAAAATATCCTAATTATATGTTTAGCTTACATTTATGATTGTAAACATTCATTGTAATTTTGGATATTTATATTTTTAATAAAAAAACTAATGGATTCTATAAAAAAATCCTTAAAAATACTTTTCAAAAACAATATTAAATCATTTTTAAAGTATATTAAATAAACTCTCAAGGTATATATAAATATAATACTAATGCTTGTTTGATCGAGTAGTATCGAGTTCAATGTCTTTTAAAATAAATTTGGATTCAATCCTTGTGAATAAAAATTATTTATAGAAAATCTTTATCCTAAAATTAAACTCAACCCTAAATATAAACGAAATTTATGTGAATATCGAACACTAAATATCCCATGCAATGAAGTAGATTCCTTGTTTCCCACGAAACGATCGAATCCAAGGAACTATACACATTAACCTTAAAACCAAGTGTAGTTAATGAGTGAAAAATCTAGGCATCATGGGACTAGTACTACACTTTACAAAGATAGCTGATGAAACAACTGTATGCTGACATATATTGACCAATTATTGAAAGCCACGTCATCTATGCAACCGCCCTCTCTGATTGATACAATATCAATGAGCACACAGCTATATACGTATTATTGTCATGTATTAAAATTTGACCGGATACATGTAAGAATTGATACAGTATCATTAATGAAATTTTGAGTATGATACACATAATATATGTGGTCAGTAATCTGATTTACCGTGTATAAAGAAATAATATTAAATTTACCTTTATCGTCTAATGTTGTCGACAGAGTAGATGTCGAAGAAAATATCTAGATATATTTATAGCGATTATTTAATTTGTTAGATTATATCGATAAAATATTATATAAAGTTATCTTTTATCATTATTTTTCTTAGAATTTTATAATATTTAGATGTATTATGTTTAATATGACAGTATAGTATTTTTTTAATTCAGTGATAATATTTAGATGTATTATCGTTAATATGTTTTCACGAATGATCAAATTGGGATGTCGGCAAGGAGAACCCACTGATGGCAGCAACTCTCTGGCTTGGCCAAAATACGGTATTGTACCTTTCGCAAATCAACTTTGCTCTTTTGTTGAATAATTTTATGCATAATTGTTGTATATATTGACCGTGAAAAATTTCAACTTTTAAAAATTAAAATTTATCATAAATTTTAAATAAAATATATGACAACATTAAAATTCCGTTTGTAAAATATATCTTTTATTACCGGTATATTAGATATTAATGCTAACTTTATATATTCGATAAAAAAAACCCAATTATTGTTATTATTTTTGTACATAAAATCACCCATTGTTAATCTTCTTTTCTTTTATTAGTACTCTTAATCTTCACTTACAAGAAAAGCTGAAAAGGGTAATGTGTATAAGTAGTATGCAACAACTAGCAGTCCATATATCTCAACAAATATTCCTTACCTCCTTAATTTCCATATTACCTTTTGATGCAAGGGGATCCGAGACAGATGATGCTGAGCTGTCAGATTGCACCTTGATGGCGCTGAGATACCATGAGTTGGCAGATCAGCGCAAAGGCGGGAATTGATTGTAATATGTTCCTCATTTGGGTCGTTTTGAGTGTGCTTCAGTCTTTTGGCCATAATTTTGGCTACGGGTGTCAGAATCGCGCATAAGACCCCAATCCAGAAAGTTCTTTTCGACGCGCACGCTGTCTACATCGAGCTATGCTCCATGTGGCCTTTTTTTCGACCTCAACTTCTGTCGTTTTCCCCTCCGAATCACTAGATTTAGATATTTTTACTATTTTGATAATATTTTGATTGTCAATTAGGAAGTCATTTTAAATATGATTTTGGCAGGATTTTTTACAGATTACTTATTTTATTTTGAATTTCAATTTAGAATGATTTTGGGATTTTGTTATTTTTGGTAAATTCCGATAAACAAGATTTTTGCTATAATAGTCCGACTTGTGGACTGATTTTGAGGATTGTTTTGATTTATAATATTTTATTAAACCCTAGAGACTTTTTTCTCTGGTTGTGATCATCTGTTGGAACTAACCTGCAGGATAATCGTTATTCCTGTCAGGCGTCACCTTTGAACTCACCTTTAAAATATCTGTCTCAACAACTCAAAACACCAATATAAACTTCTTATAATAAAATTAGTGCTTTCCTTTATATACATAGATGGATAAGGGGTAGATGATGTAGTCGTTTCCACTAAAAATTTTAAATTATTAAATATTTTATTTTTTAGTACTTTTATTGATAAATTGTTTTTATTCTTAAAATTTTATCATTTTAACACAAAATCTCGTGACCGTCTATGTTTATATACATACACTAGATTTTTAGATATGTACGTTATATGTGTATGTATGAGTTTTTTTTTATTTATAATAATTATAATCGTATACTATTAAAATTTATAATTTGAATAATTATATAAATGTAACTATAATAGAAGTATCATATTGATTAAAAAATATTAATTAAAATAAATTACTATTTACATTAGAGATATACATTTATTGGTTTAAATTCCGTAAATACAAGGGAACATAGGAAAGACCACATTTCGTCTGGTTTAGTTCAGATAATTGCCCGGATCCGAATATGATTAGTGGATTTTCAGAAGCCTCTCCACTCCTCTCGACACGTAGCAGTGTCCATTTTCACTTCTTTTGCATATGACTTTCGGGCAAGATTTACCCCTTAGTTGTCCTTCGCTATCTCCTCCCTTTCAACTCATCCCACGTTCATATTTAGTTCAATCAATTATCAGTTTATCTAGAGATTGATTTAAGTGGTAATTGATAATATATATTATAATAGCAATGGCACAAATGATGAATGCATTAAATATTAACTCTCATTCATCTCCTCGTCCTAATAATTTAACTTTCCCCGTTGGATCATCCATCCAACGACTGGCATTAACTAAACGTACAAAAGTTAGGAACCCTATGTACTATCTTATTTGCTACGTATTTGTTTAGGCCGTCTTGTCAATTTTGTCAACAACAAAAACAAAAAAACAAATATTTTAGAGATAAACGTTTTCTCTGTCTAATGAAGTTGTTAGCTAAGATTATCTAAAAGTGCAGAGTCCAAAAAGAGAAAGGGTTATTAAAGGTCAGCAACAAGAAAGAGAAGAACACACACAAGAAAAAAAACAATATTCTTTCTCTCTGGTTTTTGGTTCTTAATTTGGAAGCCATTTTTGGTTTGGGTTTTAGTTTAAAAAATGGGGAGAGGTAGGGTTGAGTTGAAGAGAATTGAGAACAAGATCAACAGGCAAGTCACTTTTGCTAAGAGAAGAAATGGGCTTTTGAAGAAAGCTTATGAGCTTTCTGTTCTTTGCGATGCCGAAGTTGCTCTCATCATCTTCTCCACTAGAGGAAAGCTGTACGAATTTTGCAGCAGTTCAAGGTATTTCATTTTCACCAACAAAATAAAAGGATTTATTTTCTTTCTCTTTCTCTCTTGTTTTCCCTTTCTTAGGCTTCGGGTGGTTTCGTGATTGGGTAGCGGGAAAATTCGAGAAAGAAAAGTTAAAAATAATTTTTTTATTAAAAAAATGAGTTGAGTTTCAGTTTTACTGTTTTGGTGAATGTCTCGGTGTTTGTAGCACAACAGTGACCAAGTGTTGTTGGCTGTTCCCAGTGATGTTAGATCTGCAACTGATAAACCATGAAAAGAATATCACTGTTATATTGGGACCCTAATTTCATTTCTTTGTTATTTTCCTTTCCCTTTTACCAGTTTTCTCCCTTGATTATCATCTAATTTTCTTCTCTTTTCTTTTCTTTTCCATCCTTTTTTCCAAATCTGTTCAAGTTTCACATACAGTTTTGTTCTTAACAGATGAAGTTTCAGTTTGTAATTTTCTTTTCTTTTCTTGCTTTTCTCTCATCTCTTTCCGTTTTTATGGTTAATCAATCACTACAAAGCTCATTTTTTGTTAACTTTTAATTAATTACCATAATTTTTATATAAAAAAAGTTTAAACCATGTTCCATCTTCGTTAGCTGTCCCGTTTCTGAGTTTAGGGTTTTATTGTTTCAACTTAAATTCAGCTTTAGTTCTTTTCATACGTACAAGGCACTGTTCCTCTGACTGGAAGTTTGTTTTAACAATTTGAATTGATGTTTTCATTTCTTAAAAAAATTAAAAAACAACACAGTCAAAAATCCACCGGACTCAAAGCTATCTTCTGATATTTACAGACAATTTTCAGATGTCAATAATCAATGAAGCAACGAAAACAAAACCATACATAAGTGTGTTCGATTCCACAGATTAACAAACCAGAAATAAGTGTTTTCTTCTTGTCTTGTTCTTTTTCCCTGAGAATGATTTAAACCAGTATTTAAAAATGTGTTGGAGAGGAATTTTAGGGTTTCTGAGTTTCCTAAAGCTGCCCCCCCTCATGTTACGGTTTCAGATTTCAATTCTTTAAAGTTACAGCATCGTCCCAACCATCTTAAGAGCTCCAGATTCCTTCAGATCTAATGTTTTATCAAATTTTTTATCATGTGACTCACTTATATTTCATAGCATTGTAAACTAGTGGTGAATCAAATTCAAACCCTAATTTTAATTAATTATATTGACTCCTTTCTACTTTAACTCATAACTATTTTTTTTAGAATTTTATAATAATTTTTGTACAAAAAATTGACACCGCTCTAACCTAGTATTATCATTATTTTTTTTAAATTTCTACATCGTAATTTAATTTTTTTGATATGCTCTGAGTTGCAGGGATATATTTACCCTAAAATTTTCAAATTATTATATATTATTATTATTATATATTTTAGATATTTTTTATTGATAATATTTTTTTCCACTAAAATGTTATAAGTTCATCTCTTATAAGATTTTAGAAGTTCATCATCTACTAACATAAAATCACACTGATGGGTTGAGTTTAGGGTTGATGGTATATGTAGATTGGAAGGGGCTATTGTCCCTCCCAAAATTTTTGTTCGGATGATATTTTAGGTCATTATTAGTTTATTTTTTAAGTAAAATTCAACCTTTATTCCCTTTAATTATTTTAGATTAAATATCTAATAAGTTTCAATTGTTTTGAACTTAAATAATTTACCATTGCCAATATTTGATTTTAACTTTGTACTGTTGAGCGATAAGAATTCAATGCATTTCTTTACAAAATTTAGATGCAACCAATCTTTTTTGATGTACCATGAATAAGTATAATGCAAGTGTTCTGAACTTACAATATGTACTTACGCTTTAGATGAGATTTTTTTGTGAAAAATAGCTGGAAGTCTAACTTTGAACTTCAGAATTAAGGAATATGTTCGCATATGGTGAAGAATTAAATAAACTAATTTATTACACCAAATAAATTAAATAAATATCCCAACTACTCCATTATTTATATTTTGATAGCTTCATTTACTACCATGTATATATTAATGCCCTTGTGTACTTTAAAAGCTTTTTCAAGTCCATTATTTCCTATAGCATAGGAATTTTACATGATTATTCGTTTCCCTTTTCCTATGGATGTTTATGTTTTGACAATGAATTCGAATGATCGTTTTCGGGTTTTCTTTTTTTTGGTATAAAGTTATCATAGTTTGAGAATAAGAGAACGAAAAGGAATTGCAGATGCCGTGATACGAACAAGATTTTGTTTGGAATGAAGATTAATAAACTTTGTCAATGTGCTTACTTTTGTTCATCATTGTTCGTTGAAATATATATAGCATGGTGAAAACACTGGAGAGGTACCAGAAGTGCAACTATGGAGCTCCAGAGACAAATGTGTCAGCTAGGGAGGCTCTGGTAATGGCTAAAACTCTGCAACTTATTCTTACATAAGACTGTCCCTTGCTTGCTCTTTGTTCTTCATGGTTTAGTACTTTTAGACTGCTTCTCAGTACGTATACTAATTCATTTATCTTGTGTGTCCTTAAGTAATATGTCTTATGGATGGTAAATTTGGGTAGTGAATGAAAGAATATCATATTTCCATGTATGAGAAATTAGGGTTTTCAAGGTACATTAAGCTACTTTCGAAGTTTTTCTATTCATATCAAAACACTCATGTTTTTATAAGATACGAGAGTTGAACACATATACTCATTTTACTTTGTAGGAGTTAAGCAGTCAACAGGAATATCTGAAGCTTAAGGGCCGGTACGAGGCCCTACAAAGGTCCCAAAGGTGAGTCAGTGACCTCAAAAAAGGACTAAAACTTAACACCCAGAGGCTGTTTTGGATGATTCTTTATTTATTTTGATTTTATCTTGTTAGGAATTTACTAGGAGAAGATCTGGGTCCTTTAAGCAGCAAAGAGCTTGAGTCCCTTGAGAAGCAGCTTGATTCTTCTTTGAAGCAGATCCGATCAATGCGGGTAATCCAGACTATTTTTCTTTGGGATTTCGTATCTTTTATCCAATCTCTACATATACCTAAAACGAGTATATATATTGTTTGATTCAATTGCTCGGTTAAAGTATTTGAAGGATCGTTGGAGATGATATCATATATTATTATGTGACAAACACGAGAAGTGTTGGAAGATAATAACTTGCATAGTGATAACACAATAAAATAAATATTTAAATTTTAGTAAAACACTTTTTCAGAAAAATCACAAACAAAATAAGAATTTTCAAATAGATGAATACAAGGAATCCTCCTGTGGCAACTTTTTCTCTAACCATAATCTCTAGTGTCTATTTATAAAGATAATCACTTGATTATATAGGACATTTTTTTTAATAAAATCTACTTAAAGTAGGTTTATAAAGAATCTGAACAATGCAATCTCCTGATATACCTAGAGATTGACTTCTACGTACAAGTTTAGAATCTATTTTATGCATGCCTTTTTGTTTCTAATGAACATGGATCATTTGCTGTTATTTTGTAGACCCAATATATGCTGGACCAGCTCGCTGATCTCCGACGGAAGGTATGCAGTTATTTATCATGTTAACTAAGATTTGTTTAAGTTTCTAAACTCAGATTTCTCTTGTTTCTCTCACTAATGCAATATTTTCCATTTATAAATCTCTTTAATATAGGAACAACTACTCAATGAAGCCAATAAGAACCTGAAACAAAGGGTATGCCATTCTTCATGTTCCTGCTTAAAAAATTGATTCGGATTCGGGTTCGGATTCGAATTGAGATATTGTATCAAACACCATATTCATTGAGGATCGGATCTTTTTACAGTTGATTGAAAGCTACCAAGTAAATTCACTCCAGTTGAATCCGAATGAAGAAGACGTCGGCTTCGGCGGACAACCTGCTCATCATCATCATCATCCTCAGGATGATGGCTTCTTTCACCCATTGGAGTGTGAACCAACATTACAAATCGGGTACGGCCTCTTGCATCCACTCTGAAATTTGTATTGAAACATGTGCAGATTGCAGACATATATAAACTACATTATAGCTTTTACTTACTGAATTGATTTGTTTGAATAACACAGATACCAGCACGATCCGATATCGTTCGTCGACGCAGGTCCGAGTGTGAATAACTACATGATGGGATGGCTACCATGACAAATTACAATAGAAGAAGAATATGCAAGCTTTGCATTCACTCATAAGAGAACCAGCACCAATTTAATCAATCTGTTTGAATGTTTCTTTGACGAAAAGAAAGAACACTTTATAGTGCCATGGATTTTAATAGCATTACTGTTGTAACTTTGTGTCTTTTTTAATTTGGAGGATGAACTGTAGGTAAACTCCTTGGTGTCAGCTCTAGGGCACTGCGTATATTTCTTTGAAACAGTTTATTATGTTTGAAATAATGTGCTTTTGTTTGCTTGTAAGAGAATTCTAACTTTGTGCATTTTGGTATTTGCTTCAACGAACACATGGCACACGCTTTGGATTCAAAGGACTTGCAAATAAATATTTCTCATACATGGAAATATAATATTATTTAACATAATAATTTTCAACTAGACGATTATTAATTTTTTAATAAAATAATAATTTAAAACATATAAATATTAAACGATAATTTTATAATTTAAATATTTGAAATATTTAATAAAACTACATCCTATAATTTAAAAATTATTTTTGAACTTTTTCCAAAAATATACCATTCTTATAAAATTACCGTAAATAAACTGGAAAAAAATCAAAATAGAATAGCAGGGAGCTGTAATACGCACTTAAAAGATGTGGGCCTCCAACCCACGTGGTTTATAATAAAGTACGCACTAGGATCGGAATGATATGACAATGCTAACATGGTACTGTTACAATTAATATTTACACGATATAATTAAAATCAAAATAGAATAGCAGGGAGCCGTAATACGCACTTAAAAGATGTGGGCCTCCAACCCACGTGGTTTATAATAAAGTACGCGCTAGGTTCGGAATGACATGACAATGCTAACACGGTACTGTTTCAATTAAAATCAAAATACAAACGTGATATATTCAGATACACTTGTCAATAGTTTATTGGCTCAATCTTCACACGTGGAATTTGCTGAATGGAGGTGAACCACGCGGTCCTTATCTTTAGCCTCCTCGACTCTCTTCTTTTCGGCCGCCTAATTAAATTGAAAACCCTGAAATCGCATGTGAAATCCGTGGCGACGAAATGTAACGACGCGTCATGCTAGATTAGAAATGTAAACGAGTTCAGTCGAGTTTGAGTATTGCTGAGTTATACTTAATGCTCTTGATAAAATCTCAAAATCCCTAAATTTCCTTCCCCGTCGACCTTTCTTCCACATCCAAATTCGTCGTCGTTCGGTCGTTCCAGTTAGTGCCATCATTCCCGTTTGGTTCGTCGTCGACCGATGAACAAAAACCATCAACCATCTCGTTGTAAAACATCGACTAACGCCGTGAATTTCGACTCAAAGTTTCAAAGTTTTTTTTAACACCATTATCATGAAAATCGTTGATTCGTCATAGATCGTTGCCCCATTTTCAATACCTCCCGCACCATCGTGTTCCTTGCATCGTTCCGAGTCCACCGGTGTCTTTCTTATCTTCGTCGTCGTCGGAGTGTGAGGGGGTGAGGAATATAAAGTTTTCGACGTTTTAAAATCGGGCTCTCTGCCGTTCAAAGTTGTGAATTGAGCTTGGTAAGTGTCTCAAAATCCCTTCAAATAATTTTAAAAAAATTGTGTAATTTTTAGGACGCCGTTTGACGCCGCATGCACCACTACGCGCCGCCCCTGAGCGTGGGGAAGGTCCACACATGGTGTACAGCCTGTAATTGGTTGTCCGACCTTACCTGTGTCCGAATCATTGACCCGTCCTGCCTGCTGACCCTATTTGACCTCCCGTTAACCATTGATCATCCGTTGACTGTTGATTAAACGTTGACCGAACGTTGATCGTTGACCAAAAAGTTAAAACTTTTGAAAAATCATATTTTATTTTTAATATCCCGAGTCCGATTATGAGGTCCGTCTTGCCAAATTCAAACCCAAAATCCTCTGAATTGACCTGTAAACCTGAAAAATGCATATTTATTTAAGTGTTTTAGTTAAGTTAATTGAACCGAATGGTCAAGGACTAATTAATGTTATCGTATGTTAAAGGTACTCAAGGATCTCCTGACTGTTTCACTGCTCGACCCGATTCCTCCCTATCCGCTCGTCTTTGAGAGGTCGTAATTACCCGTATAGTTTTGTAACCCTATTAGTTATTCTGTTTAGAATATTATTCAGAATATGACTCTGTTCTGATATGACTTAGGTTCCCGTTCATTCGAAGAGCCTAGTGAAAGTGGTGTTCGATAGATTTCCGGACTGACCCATTTTACGAGGTGTGTTCCTTGTGGACCTAAGGCGACCCTCGGTTAGGCTCTACGACCTTGAGATTTTTCTTAGGTAAGCCTATGTGGCCCGGAGAACTGTCTTAGGTAGGCTCTCAGGCCCCAAGGTACTCCCTTAGGTTATGCAGTTCTGGGGGACTGCACATGACATTCGGTTGGAGGACGATTTGAAGTTTTTAAATTAAAAACTCCTATGATGTTTTTAATTACTGTGATCTGTACTGATTTTAAAAAAGCATAACTGTATGTTTTTATTTCTACACTGTTGGGACACACTGAGCTTCTAGCTCACTTTTCAAACTGTTTTACCCCTTTGAGATACTCTTAGATAGACATTCCGTAGCAGACACTTGAAAGATTAACACATTTAGTACATATCTTTTTGTTGTAATGTTCTATCTTTCAAACTGCTTTTAATTAGGGTGACATATGCCTTATTTTTGAAGTACTTATCTTTTTATGATGTTTATTCATTTTGCTATTGCTATTTGATTTACTATACTCCGGATTTATTACATGTTTTATTTTATCTAGTCGCTTTTAGTTTTATATTTACGAGTTGGATTTTTATTGTTATTTATTATACTTTTATAAATGTCATTTGTAATATGATTTTAAATTATCGAATAACGTTTTTGGAAAATATTTTTAATAATATTTAATGTAATCCGTTAGACTTAGTCGAAACGCATAGGTTGGGTCTAGGGGGTTACACACGAGTTTAAAATTTTCAAACTTGACTCAAACTTGAAATCCTGAACTAAAGCTCGTGAGTAGCTCGAAAAGGCTCAAAATGAAAAAAAAAATCTTAAAATTAACTAAATTGAAGCCTCAAACTTGAACCTAAACCTTAAATACATGAAAATCTTACTGTATTTAAAAAAAATAATACATAAATATTAATATTATTAATAATTTATTTTAAAAAACAAAATCTTAATATATTATATTTTCGAGCTACTCACGAGCTTTTTGAATCGAATATAAAGTAACTCGTTTCGGCTTGTTAAGAACTCGAGTGGAGCTCGAGTCAAGTCCATTTGATCCGAGTATTTATCGAGCCTTGATCGAGTCGGTCTCGAGTAATTCACGATCTGTCTCGTCTCATTTACTGCCCTAGGCTAGACATTACTACTCATATAAATACCCGAAAAAAAGGTAAACTACATATTTAGTCACTAACTTATTTTTATAATTTAGTTTTGATTATTCAACTATTCTTTTTCAAACATCCATTATTAAAAAAATAAAAGTCTTGATGTGATATTTTTTTTTTATTTTTTTTAAAGATGATGTTACATTATCTTATAGTGACATGTCAATATAACTGTTAAATTTTTAACAACATATGAATAAAATAAAACCAAAATATAATATTAAGTATAATTTAAAATAATAATTGGACAATTGAAACGAAATCGTAATAATAGTTGTGTCATCCTTTTTTTCCTTTTATTTTTTCTTGTATATCTTTTCAACAAAGATAAAAGTTTTACGATTTCGTTTCTATTTCACGTCGACGCTGCAACTACTATTCTCTAACTTTTTATAGGACCACTTAAGATATAGACAAAATCACATCATCGTCTCTTACCAATGTCTCAATTTAGATTTTACCTAAGCCACTTTAAAACCCATTGAATTCAATCCCAAACTCAAAATTCGTCAAACCCTAAACCATCTTCATCTACAATATATATCATACGATTAATGTAGAATCAAGATATACAATTCAATTATTCCTTCTGTATTTTCTTACCATTGAGATATAAAAGAAATACTTCACCGTCAAGAAATCAAAGAGAATTAAAAACTAGGAATTTTCAAAAAGAATGAATAAAAGTTTTGGGACTATTTCATAAATTTGAAAAGTAAAATGTCAAATCATAACATCGGTAATTTTTTTTCTTAGCAAAGAGAATTTTTTAATTTCAAATTTTACGATTAAAACTCAAATAGGATGTCTCTTTATAAACCTCCCTAAACTTAGATGGAAAAAAAGATTACATTCTACTACTCGAAATAAAGAAAAGAAACACATAGAGTCACCTCCAACATAACTCCCAACAAAACAAAACACAACCTTGCACTTAGTCCTTCTCACTAACCTCGCCTGAAGCAATCTACCTAAGCAAAAGTAACAACAAAACTAAGTTATTAACACTGTATCAAGGCCAAGCAGTACACACCACGAACAACCAAAACAAAGAATATAAATGCAACAACAAGCAAAATACCACCAAACTTCAAATGAATTTGTTATAGTCAACCTTCATTCGCAAGATCAACCGCTAAACCAATGCTTGATATGAGGGGCGAAAATAAACTGAATCACTGGAATTTTCTTTTCCAAACAGTTGAAATCTTCAAAAAAAAAAAAAAAAAAAAACGGCCACCGCTTCAAAGGTCTATGCACACAATTTTGAATCCAATATAAAACCATCCTCGAGTCGTTAAGTATCTAATAGTGAAGTGACTATCATAAATACATGCTTTACTCAAATTTAAATGTTTTAGGGAGAACAATATTCTCTTTATTTTAAGGCAACTTGTTCATATTTTTAATACATGACTTTTTTTTTCCGAATAATTTTGAAAAATTACAAAGTAGTATATATTCAGAATCATTCTTAATCATTGACAACACATACTCTATAGACATAATTATTTGAACCCGTGATCTTTCAAGATAACAATATTCTCTTTAATCATTGATGTTACTTGACGAATTCTTTTAATACATAACTTTTTAATATTTGAAGATTTGATTTATAAAATTAAAATAATAAATATTCAAAATTATAAAAAATCGTTAGTGTTACCAATTGAATTTTAATTTTTTAAATCAAATACATAGAGGGATTACATTTTTAAAATTATAAGGAAAGGAGCTAAGTTTCAAATATGTAAAAAGTTCAGGATCTAGGAACAAAATTAGACCTAAAATTATAATATGAATGCCGAAATGGAAAATTAAGCAACAAAGCACCTAAACTGGAAAAGAAGAACAGCCGAGTTCAAATACGACATGGTTGCGGTCCACGTGTTAAAATATAATGTCACTATTATTAAGGCCACACATTGACTAATTACTATTATTAATATTTTATTTTGTCAAAGACAAATAAATATATAAAAGCTTCTTCTCTAGAAGACGATAAAATAGAGAAAAGGAGTAGAATAGAAATAAGGGCAAAGATCATACGAAAATGGGGAGGAGGAAGCTGGAAATAAAGCGAATCGAAGATAAGAACAGCCGGCAAGTCACTTTTTCAAAACGCCGTTCCGGCTTGTTCAAGAAGGCTCGTGAACTCTCCGTTCTTTGCGACGTCGAGATCGCTCTCGTCATCTTCTCCAGTCGCGGCAGGCTTTACGAGTTCTCCGGAGGCAAGAGGTACCACTTCGTTTTTGTCACTCTAAATTCTCTCAGGTTTTTGTTATGCAATTTGAATTTTTTTCCAAGTAGGTCAACAAAAAGTCAATCGATAATTCAAACAGTTTTACTTGTACGTGTTTCTTTCTTTTTGTTTGTTTGTTTAAGTTTTCGAGTTTTTATTTATTTCTTTCAATTTCTGTGCACTTTCATGGTATTTTTTCCGTATAATTGTTTCTCCTCTATTAATGCCGTATGATCAGTAGGATTCTTGAGCTCCAATGATTTAGGAATTTGTGCTTTTCCATTATTTTATGTAGAAGGCTAAAGATACGTGTTCGTCTCTTCGAAACCCCGATGATTTAGCTCGTATGAGATATGTTCGTTCCTTTGTCCGGCATAGTATCTCTAAAAATGCGATTTGAACTTAGAATTTGAATTAGGAGTTTTCTGTTATTAGTTTATTTGGAATGTTTGCTTTCTGAGTAAAGAAGCTATCTCTGCTGCTTCATGACATTCTAAGCTTGTATTAGCAATCTATCCACACTATCTCATTCACGCTTGCTGCACTTCTTTCCTGACTGGTATATTGGTATCTATCTAGGGACACACACATATTATGCTAGTGGAGTGAATTCATAAAATTTTTAAGGAAGACAAATATTTTGTTAATAAAACTTTACATTGCTGTGAAATATATATATAAATTTAAAATTTTCAGAGACGATCACGGTCGATCATCCTTCAATCGGTTCATCACTGTACGTGTCTGCACTTTCTCTTTTTCGTCCTTTAACCTTATCTCCATCGTCTTGGGAAGCAACCTTGTCTATAGGTAGTTTTGTTTTGTTTTTCGTGGAAGGAATAAAAAAGGATTTTTGTCCGTTGCCTATCCCCTTCAGAGCAGATCTTAAAGTTGACTTTGACAGAGTGAATCGTTAATCTTGAGAGACGTTAATTGGCAAGTGAAAGGATTAATTTGGTGTGGGGGTAACTAGATAGAGGGAGGCTAGTGGAGAACTTGGATCAAGGCAAGAAAATGACTACAAATTTAATGGCAGATTTTGCATTATGATATGGATGTGAAGAAATTGATTAATTTGTAGTAGTTCAAGTTGAGGACCTTTTCTTTAATCTCGTTATACCTACTATTATGTGCCTCCGATATTTGAGGCCCCTAGCCTTTTAGACATCCGACACTATAAGTCTCTCATTCAAGTGCATCACTCATCAAGTCTCAATAATCCGCAAATACGATATGTTTACAATAATATATTTAAACCCTCAAAACCACCCAATAACCTACCTATAAAAATTGTTCACATTTGAAATCTCAAAATCACTTTTCCAATTAAAACATTGTCCATAACATGATAAAACATTTGAAATACAAATACAGAGCTCTGACACATATATGTTCAACAAAATAACTAAATAGTCAAAACATATTCAGCCTCAAAAATAACACATAACTAAGTTCACATAGATACATATGTCATATACAAGAAATCAATAATGTACTATAAATACATGCATTAGAATTCCTTTACGACATTGCTACCTTGATCAATTGTCTACTATATTAGAAAATGATAAATAATCTAATAATGAGTTACACAAGTCTAATAATAAACAACTATTTCAAGTAGTTCATACAATTATAAATATAAGCGAGTAAATAAACATGCATTTAATGCATGAAAGAATTAATCATGTACGCATGAAAGCCTTGTTCCTAAATAAATAGTACTCGAATTAAGTCACCTCTTTTCTCGATGAGGAGGTCTAAACCTTGCTTTTTCACCTTTAACGATCAACCTTATCGGTCTTTAACAAGTATACCTTAAGCGCAAATGCCACACAACCTGTATAGTTAGCTTAGTGCCATTTATGATCGTATATTGATTAATTCCACTCATGTCGTATAATATTAAATAATGTCATTTAAACCGTATAGTTATTCAATCAATCGCATTTGTGATTCAATGACACGCTCGTACGAGCTTAACTATTGGTTGATAATTAGTGCCTGATCTGATTCTCATTCAAGTGCATTTCTCATCAAGTCTCATTCTCTATTCATTAGGTCTTAACATTATCCCCAACCAATTCAAGGATCATGTAATCTAAATGGCCATTCAACTCAGTAGGTATCAATACTCCCCTAATAGTTTTAATACTTATCCTTATAGTATTGGTATCCTATAGATGTATTAATATTAAAAATAGATTCGAAGTCTGTTCAGTATCAATATCATCCCACTGGTACTCAGCCTCATGATACCAATATTCTATGGAAGTATCGATACCATGAAATAACTCGATGTACGGTATTGATACCCTCCCATAGGTATCAATTCTCAATTTGATGGTATTAATACCATAGGGAGGTACCAATACTAAAAAATAGTACGATGTTTGTTTGCTATCGATATCCAACTCTCGATATTGGTACCATATGAACGATATTGATACCCCACATCCAAAATACTCAGATTTTTTTATGATATTTAAATGGTATTGATACTACAAGAATAATATCAATATCAAAGTGCAGAAAATATCTTTTTAAGCCCGAGAAGGCTCCCTAGCTTATCTCTAAGCATCCCTTTTTGACCCCAAAACTATTCCTAAGGCCACTAATACCATCCGTGCATCGATTAACATCAATAACAAGCTTTTCTAACGACAATTTTATATCAAAATCATCAATTCATGCATTGTCATATCACACATCAACAAACATATTTAACTTACAAGATTATATATTTATGACTCATATTACCTCTGCTAGGAATAAAATTGTATAACATTGCACAAAAACTCCCAAAAAAGGCACCTTGATCACCTTTTCAAGCTTTCTCTGTACCTCTAGTCTTGGAAGACTCACACACTTCTTTCACTAACCATTTAACAATCGAATAAGCATATAAGACAACAAAAAATAATGAATGGAAGATGGGATGTAACTTGATATTCTCAAATCCTCCAAAAATCCTCTCAAATGGATAAACCTTTTAGAGACCCTAATGTCCCATGACACATATCTTAGAAGATTTAGATCTTGTTTTGAAGCTTGAGACGTGAAGAGAGATTCTTACCTCAAAGTTCACTCCAACACAACTTAAATTTAAAGAAGGGAAATGAAAGGAGATGGGAGAAGAAATAAGTAAAGAAGATCTAAAGGATGAAAGCACTTAAGCCCCTTTTTGTATCCCCTATCATGGCTAGCCTCCAAATTTTATCTTTGTCAGGGGTAATTACACTTTTAGTTCTCACAATTTCTCCTTTATTCAAGATTGGACCTTTGAGCTAATCCATTGGACCCAATTCTTTACCAATTGAGTTCGAACATTAATCTACAAGCCCAATAACACTTAAACTCACTATTTACCAACTCGGGTCAATTTTAAATGTTAAAATTTTCGGGTTGTTACACAAGTTGTTAGATATATTATTACATATTTATAATTGTGATATTTAATAAAATATAAAACCTAGTATGTCAAATAGAGTTTACAAGTCAATATATAAAATAGGATTAAGATATTGTACAATGGCAGTTCGATGCTCAAACTCCAAAAATATTGTTGCCTTGAATTAAGCATAAAATTTAACAATATATACACAAAAATAATTTTGAACTATAAACTTCATACAACTCAGTGGTACACAATTAGTCTACTATATCACATATAGTAGATAAATTTAAGTAGACTATTCATTACTTGAAAAATAAACGATTGATAAATATATCATTTTTTTTATAGAAAGAGACCTCATTAAAATCCTCCTTCAATCCCTCCATGTTATGAGAGTAACATGAAGGAACAACGAAGGAGGAAAGGAGAGCCAAGAAAACTTTTATTCACAAGAACCAGATTACAAGATTGAACAAACTCCTACACTTCCAACAGAAGAACATAAAACTTAACACAAAACATCCAACAAACAGGGAGGTACAATTCCTGTTAAACAACACAACAATAACCAAAATCACCCTATCCCATCTTTAGCAAGTTTATCAGCTTCCCAGTTTGCCGCCCTTGAAATATGCCTAAAAATAATATCCTTTCCAATCAAAAGCGAAACTATATCCTTCACCAAGGATAGATGCAAAGGAGGGCTTAAACCCGGATTCTGGATCCACTTCAGAGCGTTAGATGAGTCTGATTCCAAGATAACTCTCTGATTTGCGACAAAATCCAATTCCTCCATAAGACAAATCCCTCTTTTGATAGCCAACAGCTCTGCCAAGATAGGAGGACCACCCCCTACTGCTTCAGAAAACCACTGAAGTAATAGACCTCTGCTATCTCGAAACAGACCACCAATACCTCCTTTTTCCCAACCCGAAACCATCGCTCCATCAACATTTAACTTTAGAAACCCCTCCGGTGGAGGAACCCAGCAAGCAGGTTGAGAGCAATCCTTTCCTGATCTACCAATCGAATCAGCAATTTTCAAATCACCTACTAGAGAATCTAGAGGAATACCCACATCCTTGAAACGAGCACTAAACCAGGAAGCCACTCTAAATCTAACAATGAAAGATAATCTGACCAAATCCAGCTTTCCTTTCTGAAAGATAATCTCATTTCTACACTTCCATACTGACCACATCACTGCCCTAGGAATGAATTTCCAAATCAAAGAGTTAGTCATAAAATCATCCCACAAAATTAGAAATTCCATGGTACACTTTGGAGTCACCAATGACACATTCCACATTTTCAAGAAGGAGGACCACATACCCCACACAACCCTGCAATGCAGAAACAGATGGGAAACTGATTCCACCTCCCTACCACACAAAACACAACGTTGGTCAACAATCTCTGCAACACCTCTCTTTGCTAACTCCTCTTTAATTGGTACTCTATGTTGCACTAGTTGCCAAACAAACAATTCCACCCTTGGAGGAGCTAAACCAGATTGATAAATATATCATGAAATAAATATTCTAACATATCATCACTGAGAAAAAATCCGTGTAATAATTCCGTTCAATATTCTTACTTTGCATCATATTTATACCATAGATTTTTTTTTCTCGGCAAGATGAAATTTATTAATTAAACAAACTTACGTTAAGAGTTTCATTAAAAACCTCCCTACACCTAGTTGGAGGAAAAGAGTACTCTTAACAAGGTATAAAGTTACAGCTCCAACATTGAAAATTTAAATAATACATTTCGCTAAAATCACATATAATATCATCATTAAACTTATATATAATATGAGTGACGGATTCAGAAATTTAAAAATGGGAGTTCAAAAATTTTATACTCTTTTTTTCACAAAATATTTGTGCAAATTTTCATATTTTTTTCTCATTCCCTGAATTCATTGAACTAAATTTAATGACTTACCTAAAATAATAGATATACACTTGAAATCATCACCCTTAAGATCACGTAATATTAATATTAGACCACCAAATAAAAGATCATCAATAAAGTTATTTAATGTGTCGTTACTAAGATCACACGATATTATATTGCAAATAAGACCTTTGAAATCACCCACATTTAAAAAAACGTCAAACAATTTAAGATTTTATTGCATCTTAAAATTTGATCACTTAAAACATTCATCTAGTGAATATTCATAGATATCAATATTTTTTTTAAAGCTTGTATTCTTAATCACATTTTTTAACTCAACATCTTGAATGTGTTAAATAATGTCAATTTAATAATTTTCTTTTAAAATAAAGTCAATATATCAATAATCTAAAATTGGTATTGATAGTATACATTGATATTGATACCAGAATAAGATATCAATACAAAATCTAGTTTTTATATTTTCAAAAATAAAATTCTCAAGCCTAAATATCATATTTAGACTCGCATCGATTCCTTGAGGTCGGTGTATTTCATGTAAAGTATTAGTACTCATTCTAAATTCAAAAGACCTAAAATTTTCTTCATAATTCATCGAGTAACGATATATAAGCCGAAAAATTCAAAATTTTCCCTACGAACATACACAAATTTCTCCAAATTAAACTTATAATTATGCATATTCATCTCTCAAGTTTAGCAACAAGCACCCTCAAATTAGTCCTCAATCACCTTATAATTCATTTCCTTGTTTCCTTGAAGATTCTTCAACCTCTGTAATTAATATTCAACAATGAAAATGAATTTTCAATCACACAAGAAATTAAAAAAAAATGAAATTTACAAAAACAAAAAAGAAAAAAATGACATGATTCCCCTCATAAACTCTCCTGAAACCTCTTTCTAAGTTTTACACTTCAAAATAATGAACTATTTTTGAAGCTAACTTAACAATGATGATTATTACCAAAGAATGTCTTGAATAATTGATTTGAAGGAGAGAGACTACAGATAGCTCCTAAAATGACCAAGCTTTCAGCTGGAAAGAAAATAAATAAATAAAAAGAATAAAAGAAAAGATAAATCGGTATAACAAAATGAGTTAAGCCTTTAGCTTTTAATCCTTCTAAGAAATATATTATTACTAATTGAAAACTCCATAATTTTTGTGCTTTAATTCTATATATGACTTATGTATATCTAAAATTGTCTTCAACATCCTGAATCAACCTAACCTTTTCTTCAATTTGATAAATCACTTTTAAGCCAATCAGTCTACTCTCATTGAGTATCATCCAACATAAAAGTTCGACATGGACCATATAATACTTTGAGAAACCATTTTAATGCTGGATTAAAAACTATTATTGTAGATAAATTCAAATATAAATGATTCGTTTTAAGTTGTTTATAATTTGAAAATAAAAAGTTGTGCTGAATTGTAAACATATACCTAAAGCTTCTTCAGACTTTTTCTCAAAACCGTAGGATGTATTTTTCATCTCTATTGGAAATGATCGAAGTATGTATATCATGTAATCGTACTATCTCATATATATACAATGTAGTCATGCAATTCATATAAACTGACAAACATGTGATTTCTATATATCATGTAATCGTATTATCTCATCTATATACAATTTAATAATGCAATTCATATAAACTAACAAAAATGTGATTTCTTCAATCCATCCGTTATTATTTAAACAATTTCATGTCTCTGTTGTGTCATTTATAGAACTATTATGAAGTTCATAATTATTTTTTCATTGAAAAATCTTAATCGACTCGAACAACTTTAAAAGAATTTGGTGTTTAATCTTAACAATGATGCCTTACCTCTTTTGACTTGATCTTGTTTGGTTGACAACTTATAATCCAAAATTTAATATCTTTTTAAAGTTCATATTAGAACGAGTTCTACAAACAACCCACATTTTCTATCATACTTAATCGCACGAATATTATCCTCAAAATTTGGATTAAAACATCTGTCACCACATTTACTTTACATATGCGATAATAGATAACGTAATTGTAATCCTTTAGTAGCTCAATCCATTTTATTATTTTAAAATCAGTTCTTTGTAAATAATCAAATACTTAAACCTTCTATGATTGATAGATAGTATTTCTTTCTATAAAGGTTGTGTTCTCCAATCTTTAAAACAAAGATTACTCTGATCGACTCTAATTCATGAATTGGATAATTCAATTTATATGATTAACTAACTGTTTTATATATAAACAATTACTTTTACTTGCATTAAAAAATAAGTTAGACATCATATAATCTTTTTTAATTTCAATTAAGTTAGAACTGATGCTTCAATTAAAATTAATTTAAGATGCTTGAAATTGTATTCATATTTTTTATTTTAAATGAACGTCATACCTTTTTACAATAACTTAGTTGTGGATAAAAAGTAATAATAATCAAAAATAAATTATAACTAATAATCAAGCACTCCACATATGTGTCAGACAAAACAACGATAATAATCAACGAACCATAATTATGCTTTTGTTATAAGCCTCAGGAGGGACAAATTAATTCAAACATTTCGTGTCACAATGTTATCTTACACACTCTTTAAAACTCAAGTTGGTTCTTCAATATAAACACCTTCCACGCTTGGTATCATACCAATGTGGGATATAAGCTTTTTATATTTCCCAACATAATTTACAAGTAACTTATTTTGAGCATTAATTTCTCATTCTTTACTTAACTATTTTAAGTATATAATATGGTAGTGTAAAGGTCTCATAAAATAAAATATAAAATCAAAATTTTATGACTCGAATCTCCATTTTTGTCCATTGAAACCATACCTCAAACTTTCTAAAATTCCATTTTTTTTCCCAACAATAAGCACTCTACCAATATACCGTTCTCGGATAATTTCACTACATATATATAAATGAATGTACCGTGCCTTAAAATATGATTGAAAGATCCAATAAAACCAATATGCTTTCTCAAGTCATAACAATATGGTATCTAGTTCACACTCAAGTCTCGAGTCTAACAGTAAAATCATAATGCCCTTAAAACTATCCTTCAATACTAAAACCTCTCAGAGTTTGACCCATTCCTTATTAATATGTTACTGCTAATAGTAGCAACCTCGTAGAAAACTAATAGCTAAACCGTAGCAAAATTTTGCTTCTTTTGGATGAAGGAAATTCTTATAGAAAGTCATTAAACTATTCTGATCATCTGTTTAATGCAACTAGTACAAGAACTCATATAGAAAGTCATTTTGCTAGTAGTGTCCCATGTGTGAATATTCCCTTGCATACATGGAATGAATGTTGGACTCCTTATAATGTTGCTTCACACAACTCATGTAGTTGAATCTTCTATAACATTTTTCCAGGACATTATGTACTGCAACTTTTCCATGGAAACTTGGTTCATGAAATACTAAATACTTCTGTTCTTCTCTTTCTTATAATGACTAATGCAATAAACATTTTTGCCAGTTTGGTCAAGATTCTTGAACGCTACTATGGACAAGAATCTGAGGCTTCAAAAGATGATACTGAAGCAGTAAGTAATCCTTCTCCCTTCTACAACGATCTTAATGTTGTTCTCCTTGGAAGACCTAGGTTCGAGCTACTGCGTCTGTAAAGTATATGTGAGTTGTCAATAGACTAAGAAAATTCTAAACATATATTACCTTGTAATCACCCCAGTCTATAAACAAAGAACTTCATGAAATGATTTAACAATTAATCAAATGAACTGCGTATGCTTTTAACATGGTGTTGCTATCACCACTTCATATTTCTCCTCCATATTTGCTAACTAGCCATCAATTATTTTTCCACAGGTCCTTTCACTTACAGAGCTACTTCATATGGTTCAAAGGTGACTTTCTGATTCTTTTTTCCAAGGGAAGATGAAAGGGGGAAAGGATGGGTTTCTTAATCCAATGGTTTAAGATTCATAGCAAAATGTACTATTTTGTAGTTCGACCGTTATATTAAACCTTTTTTCTTTCCCATACCTAAATGGCAGTGTAGTAGAAGTTATATATGACTAGTTTGACATAGTAGTATCTGTTGCCAGTCGAGTAGAAGAACCAAGTATTGAGCAGCTGAGCTTGATGGACCTTGAAAAACTAGAGATGCAACTTGCTGCAGCACTTTACAGAACAAGAGCTAGAAAGGTTAGTATCCCACGTTGAGGAAAATATGACATATCATGATAGATATCTTGTGTAAACTACTTAATTTTGTTCTAGAAATCAAATTTCACCTCTGATACTTGCATTGACTCTGAATTTATAACCAACTTTTCATAAGATATACTACCAAGAAAATGTCCTAACATTTGAATAAATAGTCACTTTGAGATCTATTCTTTTTCTTTTTTTTCTTTTTGGAACATTTAGCCCCTGACATTTCATTTTGGGACAAAAAGGCATTTCCATGTAGGGAAATCTTTAGTCTAAAAGCGATCAAAGCTCCAAAATAGGGGTCTTTTTATCTTAAAATGAAATGTTGGGACCAGAATACTAAAAAAAACTTGGGCCAAGATGATTATTTAGTCAAATGTAGGGATCTTTTGTCCTAAAATAAAACGTTGGGCCAAAATACTCCCTAGAAAAAAAAAAGAACATAGACTAAAATTATTATTTAAACAGACGTTAGAGGTATATATTTTGTTAACCTTACATCTTTTTCATAAAAACAGTAGTTTGACGCAAGTCTTGCTCCAGATATGAATGAAGTCTTTTACCACTTCTTACCATGGTTCTCTTTCACTATTATGATCTCACAAACCAAATCCAAATCCTAAAAATTAGCAAATTGGCATGTTTAGAGAATCTTAAAGGTGATTGCCAACCAGGAAATTCACTTGGTCACCTTAAGTCACTATGGTTTCTTTTACATGTTAGGCTTACTTCTGAATAAGAGACGGAATGGATAAATCTGAAAAGTGATTACTTAAGATCTACACATCATTGATTTCAAGTGACTTTATCTACTAATTTATGTGAAATCTTTAGTTACTGATTTTATTAGATAAAAATGCTTCCATGCATCAGCCGATGCAGCTTGTTTTTAGGGTGTGCTTCCGAATTCTTTTTAGTTAATTATTTATTTTGCTGATTATATTTATTCTAAAATTTTATTCGTGTCGATCCGTATAAAAGTTTTATATTATTAATATATATAAATGTTTCTGTAATAGTGTTCATTCATATTCTTATATAAACAAGCTTTTATGCATGCAGACACAGCTGGTGCTGGAGACCATTTTGACCCGCCAAGAAAAGGTAAGCAACCATTGTGACTATAGTGAGAATTTAGCTATGGATCTATTGGCTTTACCTGCACTGTGTGAAGAACATACCTGTTGGGTTTTATAAGGTTTTTGAGAAGTAAGGGATGTTTTAACTGAAGTAAATAGCTGTTTAGGATCAGCATGTTAGAAATTTTTTGAACCATGTAGGACCGTTTATTCCCCTTTTATCACTTTTCTTAGAAAACATAGAGGAACGTAGGTGAATTAAAGGCGAGGAAGAAGATAATAGACCCTGAACCAGAGAAAAATTGAAGCACACACTTAATAGCAAGACAGCATAGCTAGAGGGTAAATAAAAAGTGTTCAATAAACTATTCGTGAACCGTTTATATAAGATTTGTTTATATTTGCTAAATAACGAGTATGAACAAAAATTTTATGTTCAATTAATAAACTAACGAACACGAACAATTACGTGTTCGGTTCTTTTATGTTCAGGAACAAACTTGTTTGAAAGTTCGTTTATTGATTTGTTTATAAGCTCATTTACCGGATTTTTCTTTTCGTTTTACCTTTTTTATATTTTAAATATTGGTAAAGATATGAATTAAATTGTGCATAGAATGAATTGCAAGTTTAATCTATGAAGTTTAAAGAGTTAAAGGACTAGTGATGTAATTTTGTCATTTTTCTTTGATTTACAAATAAAATGATGAAAAAAGGGTTGGTTGTCGAGAGGACTCGAATCATATAAACGAATATATTCGTAAATATTAAATGAATATGTTAGTAAACGTTAAACGAATATATTAATAAATATATAAACAAATATGTTCACGATCACGAACATTAAACGAATAACATGAATGCAACCTTATCGTTAAAACTCTTTACGTTTGCACCCCTGAGCATAAGACACTTTTGGTCATTTAACAGTCATATTTGTTGCAAGTGTGTTGGTATCATAAACTAAAACCATTTTCCTTGTATTTGGTTTACTCTAATCCGTGGCAATCCTGTGGTGCGCAGGAAAAGTTGTTGAAAGCAGAAAATGATGTATTAGAGAGGGAGGTAAAGTAGAAGATATGTAAAGCTAATCTGCAGGCATGGTCCAACTCAATAATAGTTTAAGTTATTGTGATGTAACATACAGATTGCAGCAATGGAGAAGAATGAAGATTACGGGAGTGAAATGGGGACAGGGTTGATGAGCAACACAGAAAACTTGGGTCATCATCATCTTCCCCACATGCAAACCCTTATGCTGCTTCCGTAATAAGGTTAGTTACTCGTGTCCCCTTTTGAACAGCGGCCACCGAACCAAAAGCTGTCCAAACCGGTTGTAATAAAGCATCTCAATTCAGTAGTGCAGCTAAAGCCTAAACCTTTGTTATCAGCTTGGCTCCATTCTGTCTCTAATGAATAACTTTGTGTTGGCAGATGGACGGGTCAAACAAAATGCGGTGGCACCGATTGCCGATGCGAAATTATTGAATAAACATGGTTAGTGTTATTTATTGTCGTCGTCTCGTTTTTCAATGTCCTTCGTTTGTGGTTACGTCGGGGCATACTAAAAGTATTAAATTATAACCGTAACGTAGTGTAATAGTCATATCATAACATTCTTTAAGAATATTATGATATCTTAAATCGTTATTTTTTTTAAAAATAAATTATATCGTAATGTTTGTAATATTCACGATCGACAACTGTAACTGCAATGATAACAACAACCATAATTTAATACTATCTCTACAATGGAACACGTAGTCTACTAGACTTTACTGCAATCGATCAATTCATCCCTTTTCTTGCAACATATATTAATAGGTAGACTTTACTGCAATCGATCAATTCATCCCTTTTCTTGTAACATATATTAATAGGTTTTGCGGGTTTCCTTCTGTGGTGGTTTTAGCCATTAGGGATAGATCCGAGCGCAATGAAAGGCTACCACCGGCAATCACCTACTCATGCAATTCTTTTTAAATTTTAATTCTAAAAATATAAATTACTAATTATATAATGAAAATATGATCATATATAGCAAAAGACAGCTGGTTCACAATTATTTTTATTATAATTTAAACTTGGGCTATTTGAGATAATTGTTAGTGCTTAATAATATAAGAGTATTAAGTTAAAAATTTAAATCAACAATAATTTAACAAGATAATCACATAAATAATAAACTAAATTGACGTCAATTATAGAGATAATATTAGATTTAATCTTAAAAAATACTACAAGAACAGAAAAAATCAATTATTTTTATTTAAAAATAAAAAAATATTAGATGTTTATTATTTAAATAAATATCGTCTTTCTTTTACTTTTTGGTATAATTAAATATTTAATAATTTTAAAATTATATATATTGAATAGTGAATTTATACTTATAATTTAAATATTATTTGATTAAAATGATTATTCAAAAATTAAGTGTTAAAACTTTAAGTATAATGCATAAATTAAATAATTTAAGTGATTAAGAAATTATTATTATTTCTCGAGGTTCTGAGTTCTAGTAATACATATTTGGGTATGAGAGTTTAATATTAAATAGGTGATCATTTTGTATTTTTTAATGATCGAATAATTCAATAAAACAACACTCTTTAATTAAGAAACTATTTTATAACTTTTAATAATTAGATTCATAAAACAACACTCTATTATTTGTTACGCGATGCCCCCTCTCAGCCTCGGAAGGAAAATTCTGGTAATATTTTCAAATTAGTTCTTCTTAAAATGGCATTTAAATTCTAAAAAAGTACATGGATTTATGTTATGTTGTTGTTTTTTGCATTTAATTTTATTCTCTGATTGTCTGGCTTGTAAACTATTCTAATTTTGCAAATTAAATTTCTTAATACTTCTTACAGAGCAGGAATCAAATTCCTAGAATTTGCAAATTACATGAAGAAAACTATGAAATATAAAATAATTCTCCTGCATTTTGTATTTCAAATGTTTAGAATGATCTCAATTATGTTGTTCATAAAGACCAGAAACTGGTAATTTGTCCAGTCTTTATTTGACTTCTTCCGTTATTCTTCAATTCTAACTACATGAAACCTTTTTATCCCATCAAATTGTGAGTATCTTTTTCTTACAATGGTACTAGGAAACTTCGTTTCGAGTGAAAAATATGTTCAAGAATGAGCTAAACAGGTTGTTGACAAGTTTTTTCCCCCTATACTGAGTGCATCATCTTTGTAGTTGCTTTTTGAACTCATTGACAATATGGGTATCGCAAGTTCGGCGTATGACAAAAACCGGTAGTGTGTGGCATAAGTCGATAGCTAGTGATGGATCGTCTAAACTGTTGTTGGTTGATCAATTTTGGCAAAACTTTTAAACAAACGGGTTGAATTTGACTGTGTTGTGAGCTTTGTATTAATTCTAGATGAACCAAACTTGAGGTCGAGTAATACGACATTCTTGAAGGTTTTATAGTAGGTTCAAGATTTCACATTGTTGCCCCCTTCCTTTTGCAGCAAACTAGCTTAATTGGCTGTGTTGTATCTGCCATCTTTTTTTATCAGTTATACCTTGCATGGTACCATGCAAGAGATTTCTAATGCTTGTGAGGATACTTTTTTTGTTGTTGCTTCTTGCTTCCGTGAAAGAAACACTGGTAGTTCATCGTTGAACAAACTAGCATTTCGGGGAGTTTCCCGATTTTCTTTAATCCGATTGAGTATATTTTCTGATGGATACTTATCCAAAATGATTTGACTTTGCAGAGTGGAAGCTCACGTAAAGAGAAAAAGTGGGTTTGGAAAGTGGGAGATTCGGGCAACGCTCAACTTCTTGGGAGTGGTACTGTAAATTGCTTACATATACAAGGAAGATAGCAGGTTTCTTCGAGTACTAATGCAGGAAAACACGGATTGATGCTGCCTTCTAATGTTACTGATCATATGGATATGGAATCCTTGGTGCTGTTGAGGTAGTTGCTGGTGGAAGAATTCAGTTGATGAATGAGTTTCTCATTTGCCAGAAGAAATGGGATGATTGTTTCCCATTCTATTCGCTTCTGTTTCTTCCTTGTGAGCTGTTTGGATATTATTAATCCAAAATCTAAATATGGTGAGAGATAATGAGAAAAATGGAAACTTGATTTTGGATTTTGAATGGAATCTTACAGTCTTTCAGACGACATTAAGTATTGTTGAAAGGTTTTTTTTTGGTTAAAATGACGAAATAAATTACCTAATTACAATCTAGAAACTGAAAACTTAGATTATGTTTAATTCAATTATATAAGAATAATATGACTACAATATAAAAGTTAAAAATAATTAAATTAGAAAATAAAAATCTTATTTTTTTTGAATAGTCTGAGTGATTAAAGTTTAAAATTTTTCTTATTTGTTTGACAATAAATTGTACTTGATATAGAGGATTGAAATAAATGATGATGAAAAATTCTTTAATCTAATAGGTAAGCAATAAAGTGAGACGGTGATCGTGAACCATCTCCGTTTCCCCGTTTCCATCTTTGCTCAGTTCTCACACCCAACACATTTTGAACCAACAATTTATGCATAGCGTAAAAGATTAATAGTACAATTCAATAGATTTAACAGTTTAAATTGAAATTTAAAAATATTAAAATATAAAAGATCGTACTAGAGTTTTACAGATTAAAATTACAATATAAAGATTAATAAAAGCTTAACTATGATGTATTAATTTGTAATTTCAGAAATTTAAAAGAGTGAAGGAAATTTTTTTAATGTATCCAACTGTTGCACGTAACTGCAGGCTTAATCAGGTTTATGGACTGGAAAAGAAGTTCAAAAAATGGTTCTGTAACACACCGATCTATGAGGAATTTTTTTTAAAAGATTAAGGATTTAAGTGTAATTTTGTCCATTCATTAGTTTTAGTTAATTATAGCATTCACATGGTTTGTTTTGGTTGATGTGAACTGATTCTCTCATATATATATATATATATATATATATATATATATATAATATGTATAAATGAAGTATAATTTCAACTCCCCAAATAATAAATCTTATCTGATGGTACCATAGTGGCCTAGGGGGTCCTGCAAATGTCTGCAATCTTCTTCGTTATCTCATAAAATAGTAGTACTAATCTTTTATATTATAGAGCATTCATAAACAACCAAAGCCACATACATCCCTTGCTCGATAGCCTCACCATCGTGAGTAGCTTGCTTGCTTTTTGATGGCAGCAAATCAGCTACCAGAACCGTCATGGGAGGAACTGCTCGGTAGAAAAAAAAATTTGGACTCGCTTCTCGATCCTCTTGACCTCTCACTTCGCAAACTCATTCTCCGCTGCGGTGACTTCTGCCAGGCAACATATGACGCCAAGCTTGAGCCTGTCGAACCCCTTTTGCGAGTCGATGAAAATACCAACAACCAAAAAGAAAGCAATCCCTCGTAAAACTGCTGGTCAATCATGGGAGGATCTAACACTTGCGGAATGGCCTGAAAATGACTTTCGTCTATTTTGTGGTGATATGGGTAATGGGGTGAACGATGATGTGCTTTCAAAAGCATTTTCACGATTTCATTCGTTTAACATGGCAAGAATTTTTAGTATGAAACGCACTGGATAGCTGTATGTTTGTGTTTAAGGAACCATTTATGAATGCTACGACTGCAGCTGGAAACGATGATAGCACAACGTAGACAGGGAAAGAAGAAATAGGTTGATCCTATATCAAGAACGGGGTATCAGAAAGGGAAGCTATGGAGGGTCTTTAGCCAACGTCGATCTGTCGTAGCTAAGTCCGCAGCCCCTAGGAGCTTCTTATATCCAGAACCGGTCAAAGGGTCCAAGCGATGATCACCAATGTTTGATTTCGGTTGGTGAAGATTCTTGCTACAGAGCACGCTGGTAAGGCTTATTAAGCGTGAAAGAAGGAAGAAAATAAGAAAAGTATGAATGTTAGAGAGAGCACGTGGGTTGTAGCAAAATTTAATAAAGGATGAAGGGTAAATCACAATAGGAGTCATCCAAGTTTGGTGAGAATTCAACCTTGTCTTCTATTTTCTATATAATTATGAATGTTGTCTAATGGTTTGAATAAGATTATTTTGGTCACTTGCCTTGGTAGCTAAGTATTAAATTGACCCTTTGAGTTCTTAATTTTGTCAGTTATGTCCCTCTATTACAGAAAGTATTTTTTATAAAAAAAAAATTATGGCTAGGAAATTTATTTTGGAATTTGAGTTTGATATTTAAAGGTCAAGGTTCTTGAGAAAAAGATTGGAAGCTAGAAATTGAGTTGGTGAGCTTAAATTCAAAAGTTATTGTTTGGGTTTTGTTGACATCTTGAGCCCGATTTCGAAGTTCGTTTTGTCAAATTCGTACCCAATAAGCTGTTTTTTAAGGTTTTAACTTCGGATTTAATATTGGTTTCTCAATTAATTTCATTTTCTGACATAACATCAGTTGCTTTGTATTTGAGGAATCATTGGATGTGGGATTCAAGTTCGAGGGCGATCGAATGGAGTTTAAATGGTCGATCGGTATAGAATTGAAATCGAGGTAATACATTACTACCTCTTTATACTTTATAGAACATGTTGTTAATGGAAAAATGCATGGATGTATATGATTGAACTATTATGCCTGTTTGTTTATGGATGAACTTGAATCGAATACGGTTTAAGCGATAAATTATGAGAATGCTTCAATTAGGTAAAATTACAAAATTACCCTTATGTTGTAATAAGGACAATAATTGACTCTGGAAGTTGGATAAGAATTTTTAAAGACATTAATATGATGAAACTACTGATGCGTACAGAAAATATTGGTTTTGCTTATGAAATCTGGATAACCGATTTCTAAATCCAAGATGGCTTGTACAAGATACTAAAAGTTTGTTAAGGAATAATTTAAAGTTTAGAGATTATCCGAGAAACCGATTAAACCCATAATCTCTAAATTATAAATCCATGTTAAGAGTTTTAATACTAAAATTATTTGGTTAGGAAATTACGAAAATGCCCTTGAGAGGTAAAAATAGTCCGAGTTGACCCTGAATGAGAAATTACTTTGAGGATTCGTACTTAACTCGATAAATTACAGATTTCATTATTAAGATCCTGACTTTGTATAGAAAATTCCTAATAACTTGTTTGTAACATCTGAGAAGGCATTTGCCCCAAAAATCTTCGAGTTATGAATAAATGCCTGAAGAATAATTTATTGAGGGTGATATTTTGTCAAAATAGTTCAAAGGGACTGAAATAAATGATAAGTTTGAATCTAATAATAAGATCGGTCGAAATGAATTATTGTAATACACTAAATCTGTAAAATGTCCAAAATACCCCTGAAATGGAAATGATCAAGAATATCACCAACTCACGAATGATTGAATATCCTCGAACTCTGAAATGAATGAAATAAAACTGAGTACCATAATGACCAAAATACCCTTATGGTATAGACTAAGTAGATGTTTTGGATTAATTAAGGAATCCAAGTAAATATGGGTGTTGTACTACCCTTAAAAGTTATGAAACACAACTTATGTGAGTCGATCAACCTTAATGATATGTCAGTACCTGAACGACATAGATATTACTTGAATGCGTGTTCGTCTACTCAAGTTTGGCTCGATGATAATTTTGGAAGTATTCAGCTCAGCTCAACTCTAGATTACATTCAGTACTAAGAATTTGATATTTGTTCGACAAATCAACCACGAATATCAAATTAAATTGAACAGAAGTACAATATGTATCCGAAATTCAGAAACGTCCGAATTACTCTGGAAAATTCTAGAGTAACCGGAATAGACTTGACTATTAAATGAACTAAGTAACCTCAATGACTGAGGATTAAGTAAGTGATTAGGATAAGTCTGGAAACTCGGATGAACTTACATGATCTATCAACCCTATAGGTTATGAACCACAAATCAAGTACGTCGGCATTTCCTGATATAGTTGAAACATGGAAATGAATTAAAGATCATTAGAATATATGTATGTCTCCTTAAGATCCGTTCAACGATGACTCAGAAGATGATTTATGGACAAGAATTGTTGGTATTAAAGAGTGAATACCTGGAAGGGCAATGAATGGATCGGTCAACATGCATTAGTTCTGAGAGTTGTTCAGCTTGAGTTACTTCAATAATCCGATAGATCGACACAGACTATAAATGTTCGGAACCTTCATTTATTTCTTATCAGCTCAAATCACATTCTGAATAACTGATGATTCCGTCAGTTAATAAACTCTTCCAATAGTGATTTTAACTTCCGACATTTCTATATGTAAACTGAAGATATGTGTTTCTCTACCCGATAAGATTATATAATATCTCTGAATAATATCTGAAAACTTTAGTGTGTTCCCTAATCACATGAATGTTTTATCTGATTTTCAATTTGAATTCTGTTCTGATTTCTGATATGAATTCTGTTCTGATTTCTGATTTAGATTATGTTCTGATATCTGATCTGAATTCTGTTTTGATTTTTGATATCTCCATTTACTGATGGAAAAATGTTTTATTTGGAGGTATTGTTGGAGGAAGCATTTCTGCAAGTTCTTCGGCTTTGTGCTCAGGGTCTTACATGTTGTGTGGGTTGGGTGTATGGTTATGGGGAACCTACACAAACAAATTGTGAAAGGATGGGGGTAGTGTTATGTTTTTAAAAATATATTTTAAAAAGATCCGTATATTTTCAGTTGTTTTACGAGAACACACTAGATAATCTATCATGATTTCTTAAATCTAGTCATCCGAAATATTTTCCTCTGAACTGAAAACTTACTGTCTGATATTACCTAAGATATCAGTGGAACCTCAGCTCAGTCTAAAAATCTGTACATATCAGAACCAATATGAAAATATATGTTTATCTGTATCTGCACGTTCTTTAGCATCATCTGGTAGTTTTGTATTACTGAACTTTCCAAAGCTCACTCTGTTACTTATCTTTTCAGGTTAAAAGAATCGTACCAGTGCATCTATCGACATCAGTAAGAGAGTTCTTCCGGCTTAGATTTCAAATTATAGTACATGTGATTAGGAGACATGTAATAGTATTTTGTTTTACATACGAGTTTTGAAAATCTGTTTTATTTCTACATACTGATAAATCATTTTATGTGTTATATGTTCTTAATAAAAATTTTAAATTTTTCGAGATTTTTACAATGGGTCACTCCGCTGGCCTTAATGTGAATTCCCGGATCGGATCGGATTACCGCATCGGTCTGAGTGGGTTATAGGTTCAGTTTGTGTAGAATGAAATTTTGTATCTTGTTTTTTTATCTCTTCTAATTAGCTTTGGTCTAATGTAAGTTGTTCCACCAATTTCTAGTAATTAAATTCAATGGCTAAAAAAACTAACCAGTCATAATAGCAAAGCTTCCGATACCAACAACAAATCTAACTTTAAACCTGGAGATAAAAGGCATCAAAATGATGTAATAGAACACCCCAAATTTTCAAGCCAAGGACTCCATGACACTGCATAAACAAGGGTCAATCTCTCAAAACAAAACATAATATGCATTCGACTGCAAAAATCTGTGATTTATTGATTGAAAATCTGTTTCAGAAAGCCACGAGCTTTAATTTCAAAAAGACGTCTTTAATCAAACACATCTAATTCATAACACTGCGTCCTGCACCAACTCAACCAATCACGACAGACTTCTCTGAAGAAATATGGAGACTGGAATGAAAACCATAATGGGACACAATACCGACATAATCAAGACTTGAAAAATATTTCCATTTAAAATGACTAAAACTGAAGAGAGAGATAACCGGATTAAATTATAAATCCTTGAGAGATTGTATTTCCATCGCTTGTAGCGATTTGTGTTTCTTCAAGCGTAGTTTAACCTGAATATGTCATTCAACACATAGAAGCTTCCTTGTGGTGTTGGCATCAAATGAAACATCTGGGAGCAGAAAGCAAAGCCAAAATGTCTCGGTTAGTAAAGCTGACAACCAAAAGATGTCACAATATCAGAACCAATTCAATGGTGGATTTGAAATGGCTAAATAATAAAAACGAAAACCGTGAACTTTACAGCTTCATCCAAACGAGTCCTGTACTTTTGTTACACCTAGATAACCCTTAGGAACTCTTACCCAAATAAACCCTCATCTTTAAATTATAAATAAAGAAACCCTTTGCATAGATCACCCGCTCATTTGAATTTAGGCAAAAATTAAAGAATAAGGGCTTACTTAGGTAAAATAAAAGTATAGGGCAATCTTTAAGAAAGGGCTTTTTTCATAGTTTAGCATTTAGGAACTCTATTAATTTTCTAAAAGAAGATAAGAACATGATCTATGAGAAAGCAAGGGATAAACCACAAAGAGGTCAACAATATCCCCAGGTGAGGGGAGATGTCACTGGTTTTTCTTCTATTTAATGCACACGACACAAGATGCTTGATAACCTTTCAGAGTAAGCAATGAGAGCACCCACCATCAATTTATTAAGTGAAAATTGAAATTAAGCAAGCATAGAAAATTAAAATATAAAACCAAAGCTTGCCTAGTATAAAAAAGACAACAGGTACAAAAGATAGCTCTAGATTTCTTTCTATAGTAATCATACAATTATTTATAACTTTGCAACCTAAAGCTAGAAGATGGGAAGATTCAGAGCCCACAGGGTCGAATTAACCGTCATAAATAATGACTATGAACATGTAAATATGCATAGCCAAATAGATCATAGTAAAATAAGATATAGCAAGTTCTTTTGCGAGATATAGCAAAAGGTAATCATGACACAGTTTAATGAAATCAAAAATGTTCAATACATCGATTATTTTATCCTCGTTTCCCTTCTTAACTCAGTTATCAAAATCAATGGAAGACATGCAAATTCAAATCACTATTGATTCATGCAATACAGTTAATTCGATTCATAAGATCCTGAATAATAAATCAAAATCCTATTGATTCAATCCAGAATTAAGCAGATCGATCACTAACAAATCGAATCGCGAAATCATATAATCGATATTACCGATGAAATCAACAGTCAAAAACAGATTAGCCTTAGATCGATAACTGAAGTACACATAAAAACCCTACAAAACGGCAGAAAGAGAACTACCTGGCTGAACTTGAGAGCATGCTGCTCGCCGGCGAGTTGTAGCGTACCAGAGACGAACACGAGCACGCCGCCTGCGCCGGATGGCTGGCAATCGACGGTGGTGATATTGTGCTTGCACTGCTGGAAAGGAAGGCTGGCTAGCTTAGCGACAATGCTTTGAGAGCCTTGGATCTTTTGACCTTCGAAGGTCAACATGGAACCTTCCTGGTAGAGATTGCCTAAACCGGCCCGGTTCGCATCGAATGTCGAGTAGTAGTGATCGACGAACGCCTTCGCTACAGCGTCTGGATCCATCGAAACTTTTTCTTCTTTATCAGGATTTGAGCCGTCGCCTTAAGAAAGCTGTGACGCAGCAGTGAACGGGAAAATGAAGATTTGTGTGGCGATCGAAGGTTATGAATTAATAGGAGGATTGATCTAACGGCTGAAGTCTAATCATGAAAATATAACGACAGGTGGCTGCCAGCGTGTTATTTTATTTTTAAAAAAATTTGGGTTGGTTTATAGTTTATACACCCTCTTTCTTTGCGTTAATCCAAAGCAGCCAACAACCAATTTTTCATCTTTAGATTAATTTGTGGGTAAACTACATAGTAGGTCACTGATGTTTAGATATTTTATTTTAATCATTAAACTTTCAAAAGTAGTGTTTTAGTCATTTATATTATCAATTTGTTATATATTAATTATTGAGTTGTTAACTTTCTTTATATTAATGGTGTGATACGCTAACAAAAATGATTAATCTCCAATTTGACTTTTAAACTTCAGACATATATTAATTCGATCAAGTCCTCTTTCTCTATATATATGATTTCTCTACTACCAATGACCATTTTCTCTTACTGGTTATCATGTCGAATTATTCCTTTTGTTGTCTTCTTCTTATGGATTGGATTATCCTAAAATCATTTGAAAATTTATATAACTAAGATTACATTTTTAATTTTTTTATCAGATATAAATCGTTAATCATTGAATCGACGTCAAAATTGATTATATTCTTTTTCTCATCAAATGTGACTACTCATCATTGATATTCACTATATGATACCTCCAAACTTGAGGTAGGCATAAATTTGCCTTATTCTTTCTTATTTTTCTTTATTGATTTTGACGTTGAATCCATATTTGTTTATTAAATTTATCAAGTTTGAGTTGTATCGTTTTTTATTTGATTTTCTCTTTCACCGTCAAACGACCAACAAATATTCAAACCTCACCCATAGTCACCATCCAACGATAGCTTACCAACATCAATTCCTAATCTCTCTACATTCACCATCATCAACTTTCATCGATTATCATTTGTTCACCCATAATCCAAACACCTCATAAATCCAACATTAATATCCATTATTGGAAACCAAATAACTCTTGTAACATAAAATTCGAGCCTACACAAAAATCAAAAGAGAAAATAGGAAGCAAAAGGGAAAGATAGAGGTTCATCATTGTTATCTCGTCAGAGTTTTGAAGTTTAAGAATTCTGATTATGAATTTGAGTTGTAAGACAACATATGATTTATAGAGAATATCATAATTTGCGTGGAGTCTCATCGAATAGGTAACGATGTTGAATTAAGCATTTTAGTACATAATTAGTTGTTGTTGGCTTATTTTGTTAGAGATTAAATAGTACATTAGAAAGAGGACGATGAAATAAAGGAAAAGGAATACATAGAGAGAGTGGGGGAAAAAAAGAAGAGTGAGCTTTGGTTAAGTAACATCACTAGTAAGAGAAAGTAGTCAGGGTGACATCGACAATAAGTAATGATATTGTGGACTAAAAGAAAGATTAAAAGAGCTCAAGAGTTAATTTGGTATTTTATTTAATGGATTAAATTGATTTTTCTCCAATTTTCATGGGTCAAATTAGAAATTGGTAATTTTTTATATCACATCATCATTGTAACTAAATTGGTCACGCTTCTATTCTCCAAGCCAAATTATGGAGCTTATATGAAGGTCCTAACCTGGCTTGGAATTATGGACATGACAAAATCCAGTGTCAAATAGACAGTGCTGAGGTCTACAATTTGTTCACTTCTGCTGCTCCATCGTCTTCTCCCTTAGCTCTCCTTCACATGATTCTCCAACTCTCTTCTCGGAACTGGTGTATAGATTTCAAGCTAATCAAGTGTGAAGCCAACTCAATAGCCGACTCTCTTGTCAAGACCAAAGTCAAAACAAATGGATCCATCTGCATTTTTCCCGATGTCCCTTTTTACCTTGCAAAATCAGCCTCATCGTGATTTCCATGGACCTCCCTATTTGAGTTCTAATAATATTGTACTGTAATTGGCTTTTGCTTCCTTTCTTATTCCAAAAAAAAAAAGTTGATGGCTTAGTGATTAAAATATAATAAATAAAAAATATAAATGATTGCAATGTTACTTTTTAAAATTTGGTGATAAAAATCAAGAATCCCCCCTTCTATTGCTTGGATAGCAAGAAAATCTTCAATTCTTTGAACTAAGAATTTGTCACCATGTCTTAATTTCTATAACACACAGATGATGCAATTTCTTCCATCCATTTCAAGCATTGCTGTACATACACTTCTGAACTTGTGTTTCCCTGCAAAAACATCAGGCATGGCAATATGTCAATGTACTGGTAAACCAAACATGGTTCAAGAACAACTGTGTTGTTTTTGGAAGCTTGGGAAGAAACTAAATCTTCAGGAGGAAAACCCTTTTGTGGGGAAGTATTAGTAAAAGAAAAGGAAAGTTCGAGATGGGGTTAAAGGAACGTGAAGGAATCGAAATTTATTAAGGTATCCTAAAATAATGCCAGAGTACATGCAGTCCTATTGATGCCACTGGCATGTCATTAGCATATATCTTTCCAGAAATTGTGATATGATGCAATTGGCATGTCATTAGCAGAAATATTTCCAAGAGACAGTGATCGGAATTCCGAGCCGTTGCATATGATATTTTGCTACCTTGGCCCGGACAGGTCTATGATCCATAACTAATGCTACGGGCCTCTGGCTTCTTTCTGCAACAAGGAAACCACTCAAGGTATTCTTTGATGAAGATTCTGTCTCGACTTCCATCGAATCCGTCACCTCTTCCACAAGATGAACTGTAACCAGGACGTGTCCTTTCTCCGTGTACTGCACCAAAGAAGTAAATGATAAGTTCATTTGTACTAAAGCATAATTCGGATAAAACTGAACTGAAGCTGAAATTTTTAGATCCAACCAAGGCTTTCTCAAGCTTTATATGCATTAAAAGGAGAACCAACAACATACTTTAATGGAGTTCTCCGTGAGATTGAAGATGAATTGTCTGAATCTCCCAGGATCACCGGTTAGCATTTCAGAGCACTTGATCAGAAATGTAAACTGCCAGCTGCAAAATAGATTTTCAAATTTTTTTAGGGTAACCTACAAGTTTAGTACCTCAACTATCCTTTTTGTTCCATTTTGGTCACCCAACTATTATTTGTTTTCAAAATCATTCTTAACTTACATTTTGGTTTCATTTTGGTCACATGTCATTAAAAAAATTAACAAAATTGTTGACGTGGCTTTTTTTTAAAAAAAATAATGATGCTGTGGCATTACCCTATTGTGACATGTCAGCATCACCGTTATTTTTTTAACGGTAGGTGACCAAAATGAAAGCAAAATGTAACGTTATGTATGATTTTGAATAAAAAATAGTTGGGTGACCAAAACTGAACAAAATGATAGTTGATGTACTAAACATGTAGTTTACCCAAATTTTTTCAATGCAATTAGTTATCCAACTTTGATATTTATGTGCAATACAGTAATTAACTTTTAATAGTATGATTAAGTACCTATTTTTTTAGTGCACTTATATACTTATTTTTTTGTTTTTTTGGTACAATTAATTATTTAACTTTTATCTTTTGTTACTGATAGATATCTAACAATTATTTAAATTATACATGTTCAATTATGATAGTACTTATAATTTTAAAGTTGTTTAGTTAAGATGATAGTTTGTGTTAGAAATTCAAAAGTTAGTTATTAAAATTTGAAGTATGTACCTGTATAATTATTTTAAAAAATTAAATAAATGCCTAATTATATAAAAAAGAAATGTTTGATACAATATTGTCCCCAAAAAGGTTAGGCATCTAACTGTACTATTAAGAAACGTGGATACTATATTGTAAATAAATGTCAAAATTAGATAATTGCATCAAAAAATTAAATATCATACATTATAAAATGATAATTAAATTTATCAAATTATTACAAAAAAATATTAAATTTATCAAATTATTATAAAATGGTCACCATAAGTTATAAAATAATGTTAAGTCTGGAAAAAATTGATGACGATTTTGCAATTGTTTGGGAAGTATAATGATTATTTTGTAAGTTTTAAAACTTTATTGACTGAAACAATTATTTCAGTGTAATTTAAGGATCACTTTATATTTTTTACCCTTTACTGTATTGCTTCTTGCCCTGGCCCCTGGCCCCTGGCCCGTGGCCGGCTTACTACCAACAAAGTTGCCCCCTTCAGTACTGTCCAAAAAACTGCCGAACTTGCAACTAACTTTTATACCGCCACATGTCCTTATGTTTTATTTACTTATTTATTTTCAATAAATAAAAATAAATCAGAAAAAGCAAATTCTTTCGTCCCAAAAAGCACGAGGTTTCTTCTCCTCTAGCTTTCTCTTCTATTTTTGTTGTTGTTTTTCCTTCTTTTTTCAGTCTCTGAGTCAACTCCGAGTCAGAGTCAGAGTCAGAGTCAGACTCAGCTGTGGCCGGTCTTTAAGTAACTCACCAGTAAGTTCATTTCTTTGACATGTTTTCTGTTGTTGATTAATAAAGAGAGTAATAATGGAAGCACCTGAACTTCTAAAAATGGAGAAACATCTCGTTTTTGCAGCTCATATTGATACATTAATTTCTTCATACCTTCTATTATTATGTCAATTATTTGAGCTTTAGATAAAGTTAATATGAAAAAATAAATCAATAGATGTTCAGAAAAAGAAGAAAGAAATTAGTAGATTCCTTTATAATTTATATTGCTTCACCTTTTTTATTTTCTCACTATTGTTTTTTTTCTGGGGAAAGTGAAAGAAAACGACTACGGTTTTCTTCCTGTTTACAATAAGATTTCCTTTTTTTGATTTTCACTTTATATCTCTGGCTAAAATTAAGTTACTTTTTTTTTATGAAATAACGATATGAATATGATGGGTGATACCTGGATAGAGTAAATACTTTCTAAAAATTTCTTTCTTTCATGATTTCTGTACAAAATGATTTAATTTATTTTTATTTCTTTCAAGTGCGGAACTAAGAACATCAGTATGGAGAATGGATTTATGAGTATGCTTTTAT